GACTTTCCCCTTTGCCAGTTTCTGCAAAGATGAGAGTGATGGCCCGAGACCGGCTAAACGCAGACTGGCATCAATGACTCTTCAGCAGGTTGGTATTATTTGAACTGGATTCTTTTCATTGGGACACTGCCAATTCCTAAGATGTCTAACGGTCCACTTGTCTTTCCAACAGAGCACGCATAACATCCAGTCAGATCCACATGGGAGGGTCTTCTCTCTGCCGCTCCACTACCCTCCATACTACCGCCCAAGTCACACAGTCCAACCCCCCCATGTCCCTATGTCCTCTCCAGTGTTGACACAACATACACCCCCTGCGCCCCAGCCCTGGTTCGCTTTCAATCCAACTTGTCCAATCCCAACAGAGAGAGCAAAAGAGCCACTGGAGCTTCTGCGCTCCCTCGCAGAACAGTACAAGACCACATCTGGATTGGCTGAGCCTCTAAACCTCAGCGTTAAAGCACCGAGAAAAGAAACCAACAGCAACCCCGTCTCTTCCTTTGCCCCACCTTCGTCGAACAAGAGCCCAAAGTTTCTGAACAAACCGTCCACATTGTACGCTCCTCAGAGTCCACAGGTCAGAAATGAAGGATCTGACGCTTCACAAGATGGCGAGGCTGGAGTAGAAGAAGAAAAATATTCATATCCTTCGAAAGAAAGGGAGGCGCATGTCGTCGATGTAAAACCCATAAGAGCCTCAAGCAGCCCCAGATACGTTCAGACACCTATAAGAGGTGAAGATGCCGCCACGTTGGCACCAAAACCCAGCTCGCAAAAAACAGACTTTGAAATCAAAGAAGAAGCAGAAAGGAACCTAGATGTAAGAGGCCTCAATCTAAATCAAATACTGCCCACCCTCGCCAGAGAGAATGGAGGCAAAATGGAGATTGAGATACCGCTGTCTTTGTTCCATAATTGGCTCAGGTTGTGCGGGTCAACAGCCACGATGCAAGGACATAAGCAGCTTTCGACTCTCCCTTCTCCGGAAGATCAAGGTCATTCTTCTGACACTGATCTGCCCAAAAACCTTACTATTCACAAACAACACCAGAGTCCAGTCCCAGAGGATCTAAGGTTGAGGAAGAGGCACTTGCCAAGCCCCCCAGCACCAACCATCAAGACAACCAGTCCTCCGCTTATTACAGGCCAAATCCCCTTCACCAGCTACAGGCATCTGCCTCCAGGGGGCATTCTGGAACATGCAGCCAGCCAGGATACCTTTCCATTTGATCAACAGAATTTCCAAAAGCCATACATCTCAAAATCTCCAAACTGCTGGGACGTCTTTGAAAGAGACGCCCATGCTGCCCCCGTCAACATGAAAATAGACTCTCATAATGCCCTCGCAGTTCAGCAACACTTGGCAGGCTCTAACTCCTACGATGATGACGACGTAGTCTTGGTAGAAAAGGAGAAGCCAGAGATGCCTCCCTCAGCGTTTGTCATGCTCGGTTCCGGCTCCCATCCTCTGCTGCAACTCACCCCCGAGGAGGTGAGGAAGCTGAAGAAAATCATCTCGAGCTCATAGTGAAGATTGGTTCAGATCATAAGACTGTCACTCTGCAACCCTTCCTACCAGGAATAACATTAGTGTAGAACAAAACTGTTTTCCACGATTGCCAATCTCTGAACCAACTGACAATAACCCATTTTCAGAGGCTTCTGATATAGCCTGCGGTTATTTATAGATGTGATACCAAACCCAAGTCTTCCTCATTGGCTTCATACATGGAAAGTTGTCCTGCAAGCAGCAAACGTCTGCTGAAACTTGATCGGACATACTACTCATACTATAAACGGAAACCTTTTGCATATGCTTATGTTGACATTTGTTAATTGAGATTATGTTGTGCCGTCGATGCTGCCTGGATAGTTATCAAAGACATTACAGAGGATTATTTTTCATATTTAAGGTGGATCACAAAGTGCGAGACTATCATGTAACAGTCTCACACTCTGCCCTTAAGTTTAGATAAGAAAAGGAACTTTAAGATGCTTGGTTTTTTGCGCTCCCCGTGGACAAAGCAGTACCTCTTATCTCCTTGTTGATCTTATCCTGTAGATGTGTAAAGTCTGATTTATGTGTCTGCCTTCAATCTACAGTTTAGCATTCCTGTTGGCACACGTATTTCCTCAAAAATGTAACCACGCGTTGAAACAATGGTTGATTGGTCCGCTGGTTAGCATCAGCTTTCCTGTATTTACATTTCCTGTATCACAATTTTTAAAAAATTACAATAATTGGAGTTTCTTCAACCAACATTATATGCTCACATTCAGTCGCCGTGGTTTCCTGTACACAAAAATGCAGAGAATGTGGCAGAACCAGAAACTGGCAAGGTAACCAGCATAATAAGAAATGCAGTGTAAGTATAAATCAGGCTAAAGTTTTAAGTAATGCTTTAAAAACCAAATATCTCATCCTGCTTTTACCAGTCGAATGCATCACCCAGCGAGAATCTGAGCTGTTGAAAGGATGGAACCTGTTTCTGCAGCGCGCTGTTATTCAATTTTTCTGACACCTACCCTGCAGCAGTGATTACAAGCATTAAGAACTAAATACAGAAGTGATCAATCGTGTCGTAGATGGTCTTGTTTGTTATTGTAGGTCATAAAATGGCAAAAGTATTTATTTCAGTCTGTTTCATAACCACTTTAAAATTACTCACAGGAGGTTTTAAACTTATTTTGTTGATAGGAAATGTACTTTTCTGAATAATGTATCCCTGAATAATGTTTTCTGCGCCCAACTGGTTGTTTATGAACTGAATATCTAGGAGACAGCTGCAGTCCAACACCACTCTTTTATATGCTTTATTTTTTACTGAGGCCCTGAGCTAAGTATATATTTAAATATATGTAAATAGAATCAAATGAACAGCTTCTGCTAAATGATTATTCATATCAGTAACAAATGTTTATTTAAGCTTAATTTTCTGTACAGAAATCGGATTTGTATTGTTCCTTTTCATACTTATTATAATATAAATAAACTCAAGTCAAACATAAAGAAGTTTCCTGATTCATTTCTCATTGACAATTGGTTGCTTTTAATCAAACGTTTTGATCTTTTTTTGCCTGCTGAGTGAAGAGCACCTTGCACTCAGGTAGTGTCTTCAAGCTATAATAAAGACCAACTTTAGCAATTATTGCAGGAATGTCTATGTGATTGTAGTCCCACCTGAAAACTACCATTGTTCTTATATCTCTGGAAATACCTATCTCCTGAAAGACGTTACAATGTGAAGCAGGGTTTGTATAATAATTTATATAACATATAATAATAGAGTCAGACGTCAGGCAGAGACAGTGGGGAACGATGTGCTGGAAAGGAGCCACGGGTCGGATTTGAATCGCCCCCCTAGCTTGATTTTAAAAAGAAAAAATGCTGTGAGTATTTATTTTTGTGTGGAAAGCAGGGGCGCCGCCAGGAACTTCGGGCCCCTTGAAAAGATATCACATTGGGCCCCTACCACGGCCCAAACTAACCCGGAAATGGATGACCGCACCTCCATCACACAAATGACCCATAAAAACTTTGCTTTGTTTTACACCCTGAAAATAGAGATAAATAAAGATAAATAATCACTGTAATATTTCCTCATAGCTTAAAAATTATTTAAACTTTGTAATATTTGCACCTTTCAGACAGTTGAAGCATTTCCAGCAGCATTATTTTACTTATTAACTTGCGATAGTTAATGACCGAAAGGCTTTTATTGTTTAAAGTGATCTTATTGGTTAGCTTATTAAATGAAAAATTCTACTGGCGTTAATGATAAACTGTGAACAAACAATAAATCTGAATTAGATTCCACCACACTTGTCAGCATGACTTTAAAATATCTTCGTACCTCTGACTTCACTTTAATTCTTTTTACACTTCATTATCATTTGTCTCACCTGACGTGTTTTTATGCCCAAACAATATTGGGCAAAAGTAGCGGACTCAGTTTTGATGCTAGCGCGACAACATTGGTATCATATGAATTGACAGTTTACAAAGAATCTGTTGATATCAAACATGTTATTGTAGCTGGGAAAGACGCTAAATATCGCTCCAAAGTGGACTCCTTTTTTACCGCGATTTAATATTTTTACAAAATAGGGTCATATGAAGTCGTATCTGTGAAGGGGATTCATATGATGAATTTCTGCATAAAACACAAATTGAACCAAACAATATTTTTGGCTGAATTCCTCTAACAACTGGTTTAATCTGCAGCCTGCCACATCTCTCACTCCTGACTCGACTGACCGCTGACAGATCAATCCAGTCGAGAGGTGCAGGGCAGACTAAACCATTCTGTGCATTCAGAAGGGGGGAGAGGGGTCTTTGAGACAGACTCAACATTTCTTCCAGAAAGGAATTCTGAATGTTTGTTTATTTATTCAGACAATTTTAGTGAGCTTATTGCGGTTATAACTTAGAGAAAAAAGCTAAATGAGAAAAACATTTTTATTTCAGGCCCATGAAGGGCCCCCCTCCCCACTAGGGCCCTGGGTAGTTAGTCCCACATTTCCCCCCACTATGACGCCCCTGGTGGAAAGCGAGCCTTCTTTGTATTTACATACCAGACAGTTTAACAAACACCAGAAGAAGAAACCTTGAAAGTTATCCAGTAACCTAAGTATTTGTTTTTCATATATGCTTGAGGCTCAGATGCGCAGCCTATTATGTTATTATAATTGCTGTAATTATTCTTGGATTCAATACGTAATGCTTGGAATTCATAGGTGTGACTACAACATGGAAATAGAAAAGACACTCCCATTATTTTTTGTTGTTTTAGACACAGATAATTGCATGCAAATTGCTCCTTAAGAATCACAAAGGTCCATTATGGTCCTTTGTCTAGAACATGACTCTCATATAAAAAGGCGTTGGAACTATTAAAAGACGCATCATGGAATGAGCCATAGGCTAATCAGATAATGCCTCTGCTCTCCTGTGTTGTTTTGCTCATGTGTTGATTTGCGTTTATAGCGTGAAACAGATTTCTGTGGCTTCAAAAAGCTTTAAAGAAATGTTTGTGAGAAACAGGTTTGTTTGGAGAAACACTTTATCAAAAGCATTTCAACACTTCTCAGTGCAAGCATCAGGCTTTTATTTCTGCCGAAAACGCCCTCAGGCCTTTTTACGAAACGGTGCTGCATGTTGCTCATAATATCCTGCAGAGCTGGAAGTCCAACGCTGTTTTTAATTAGAATTCATTCTCCTCAAAAGTTGAGGTTACAGTATGAGAAAATATTTTCACACAAGACACAGCAACACGTGACACAACTGCTCAAGGCAACTTTTGAAATAATACAACTCAGTCAGTAAAGCTGACATGTTGGTCCACCTGAAATCCAGTCCTTGTGTTGTCCTGCAAGGGAGCGCAGAAGCTCAAGAGGCTCCTTTGCTCTCTCTGTTGGGTTTTGACGAGTTGCATGGAAAGCGAACCAGGGCTTGGGGGCCAGGCAGTGGGGCTTGGACTGTGTGGCTTGGGCGGTGGTAGTAGAGCGGTAGAGAGGAGACCCTCCCACATGGGTATGACTCGAGGTTATGTGTGTTTTGTTGGAAAGACAACGTCTTGAAGTCAAACTAACACATCTTGATAATAATACTAGGAGTCGATTTTCTCTTGCATGTATATACACTTCAATCGGCCCCACATTGACCGAGGTGGTCTGTGCATGCTCCTCAGTTCCTTGACAACATAAATGCATGGAAGAAAACTGGGATGAAAACAAGACGAAGCTATCAGTTTGGCGAGTGCTAGAGCGAGAATTTACAGAGCTGTCATCCATCTTTGGCCGTCCAACATACAACAAGATTGCTACTTGCTAATTTGTCAACAAGGTCAACCGGATGAAGGTCCAAGAACTAGCTGAAAAGAGCTCGGAATATCTACTGTCCCAGAGTTCGTTATATGTCCATCAATAGATCGACTTCCCTTACCAATGCTTGTGTACTGGGACGCAGACCATGAATGGCCTAATCAAGCTTTAAATGCAGCTCAAATTAACTGTGCATGTACAGTATGTGTTGTTATTACACTCATGAGTAGCATGCTGGTTTTTCACTTTTTTTGCAAGATATGGACTTGAGATTCTGATGTTTATAGAACCTAAACACCTTGGTACAAGAAAAAAGATGTGTGTTTGGATGAGTCCTCTGCAGATCATGATATCGTGCCATTTATCATTTCCTCGTCCGCTTCTTTGACCAGGCGTGGTCACCACAAATGCATAGAATAAGGCCTGTTTCCCCATTCCTTCAGTGCATCGGTGGCCAGGTCATCAATAACTGTAAAAACAAACACAGAGAGAAACAAAGAAAAACGTAAGAAAAACCAAGCTGGTGGATCGGCAAACATCCTTTACGCTATCAGTTCCCTTCTATTTCTGTTTGATGAAAAGCTACCTGCAGCACAGATTTATCAAAATAAAAATAGTGTGTAAATGACAAACACATCCAGTCTGCAAACGCGGAACAGATCACATCTTCCCGGCAGTTGAAGCTGGTTAGGCTTGTCCCCATTTCAACCACAGCTTGAGTTGTGAGGCCGCCAAAACATTTTTTTTTTTTTATCTCTGCATCTGTTGGTATGAGGATATGGTGCCTGTGTTTACTAGAAGACACAGAAAAGTTTGTTTTTTTTGCCACTCCGACAAGGATATGAATGAATCCTTTTACTGGTAGGCTGCACGAGGGGAAATTGGAACATGTTTTGCTTTTTGGAACATGTTTTGCTAGTTTGAAAAAGGTCAAGTGGGCCTACTTTTCATAACTACAATGATAACTACATGTTGCATTACTATGCTGCTTTAATTCTTAAATCGGATGCCTCCTGGAAATTGGTCTTAAAATATTTACAGAGAAAATATTAAAATTTCAGCTTTGATTCTATTTGAGCATCCACCGAAGTCTGGTTGGACATTCACCAAACAAATACAAAGCCAAGATTTAAAAGCAAAAATCCAAATTTTGCTGATTAACCTTTTTTTTTTGAGGTTCTTTAAGAAACTTTTGGTTTGTGTGGATTGACGTCCTCTCTGGACGAGGTGGTACTTCTAGCTCATCTCTTTGCGCATTTTGTAAGTCGTGTTTGTTTTCATCTCATCCTGCAACCTTCAACAGTCAAATGTACAACTGTTTGAGAATATAACTGCTATTTCAGTGTGTTTCATAAGCAGCTAATAATACCTCACTTGGTCTTTAAGACTCGTAGGTGTGGCTGACCACTTTTTAGACATCTGTGGCGTAGTTGTTTACAACAATGAAACATGTGACTGTTTGCGTAGTGAGCCATTGTCTGAGTTGTATTAGTCACAGTCAGAGGAGGATGCCTTGTTTTTAAAAACCAGCTGAATCAGTTAATGAATGCTTTAGCGGTTAGCATACAAACGCAGGTGACCTGACATGTAATGCTAAATGATGGACTCAGAGTGTAATGATAATAAGTGAGTAATCATCAATGTTACTGAATACTTTTTGCTTTATTATATTGTAGTCCTATACGTCCATCCATCCATCCATTTTCTTCCACTTATCGGAGGTCGGGGCGTGATGGCAGCAGGCGCAATAAGTCAACCTAGACTTCCCTCTCCCCCCAGCATCGTTTGCTAGCTCCTCCTGGGAGATTCCAAGGTGTTTCCAGGCTAAACGGGATACATAATTCCCTCCAGGAAACTGGATCTACCCTGGGATCTCCTCCAAGTTGAGCGTGCCTGGGAAACTCCAAAGGGAGGCATCCTAATCAGATGCCCGAAACCACCTCAACTGACTACATCCAATGCTAAGGAGTAGCGGTTCCACTCCGAGCTCCTCACCCTATCTCTAAGGCTGAGCCCAGCCACCCTCTGGAGGGAACTCATTTTGGGCGCTTGTATCTGTGATCTTGTACTTTAGGTTACGACCATAGGTTGGAATGAAGATTACTGCTGCCAATGCTGAGCCAATCCGTATGTCAATCTCACAGTCCATCTTACCCTCACTCATAAACAAGAACCCCGAGATACTTAAACTCCCTCACTTGGTGCAAGGGCAGTAAAGGCCAAATAAGGGACAAGCTGCAATGCATCAGTTTCATGTTCCGATTTAAACTATGTTAAATTGCATGGTTCCTATCAAATTAATCAATTCAATTATTCATTGTTGTTGTTGCTGTGGTTGTCCCTATCCGTCTTCGGCATCTCCCTCTAGCCCACTTTTCAAGACCAACACAGATGGCAGATTGCTGTTCATCAAGAGTCTGGTTCTGTTCATGGTTTCTGCCTCTTAAAGAACATTTTTCCTTCACATTGTAACTTCACTGAATGTCGCTTAGTGTTCATGATGGATTCACATTCACATCCTATGTAGAAGAACTTTTTTGTCTTGGGATAACATTTGTTGGTGAATTGGCAATATACGGGGGCGGCAGTAGCCAAGTAGCTGATTCCTAACTCTATCCACCATCCTGTCTGAAATGAAAGCATAAAAAGCCCCAAATTAAACATTTAAAAAATGAATTGGTGCGTTACAAATACAGATGAATTAATGGATTGATTGAATTTGTCTCTTAATGCAGAAAATATCAATGACTTCCTGTGCTATCAGAGTAACATGATGGCATCTGACTACATTACAACATACAACATGGTCATACAAACAATTCACAGAAAGGTCTGACTCACAACCAGAATGCTGGAAACAAAATGATTCAAACACAGAGAGCATTCAAAGTTACACAATGACAGCATTGTAAAAACTTTTCCCATAGGCTCATATATCAAAGACTTCAGTTGGACCTGTTCTCTGTGTAGGTTTGTCCAAACTCTGGCCTTCCTCTGTACACACACCATGACACTTCTTAACAATATGTGTCGCATATGACGACCTGTTACATTGTGTGTCGACTTAAACTTGTAACATTGAGTGTTTGCCTTTCAAAGAAGTGAAATATAGTCGTCAAAAAGACGACAGAATGTAAGGGATCATTATGTGCTTGATTCAAAGCGGTATTTATTTTGCTAAGCTGTCATGTTATTTGTCAGGGTCATGTCACTTCAGTAGCATTGTTGGAGAACAGTCTGTACCGTACTATGTGTCTTTTTTTTTTCTTTTTCCATAGAGCTACTGAACAGACCAAACAAGAAATGTAACTGTAATTTGTTATTACAATTTGTTAATAATTGCATGCCTGATTAGCTCCAGAGATCCACCAAATGAAAAAAAAACAATTACTAATCTCAAGAGGCTTTCAGTTGGTACTAAGAATTCACTTTCTCCTTATCCTTAACTTTGTTGACATACACTGAAGGCTGAAATGTTGACAGAAAGATATGCCATGTAAAATAAACATGTTCAAGAATGCTGGTAGGAAAACTTGGTGTTCATTTTCATACCTCAGAGTCAGTAGTGTGCTGAATGGCTCCAGTTACAAAGCAAGTCTGGTTGGACTGTCACAACAAGTGTATTTTGTGCTTCAATGTCAGTGTTATGAGGAGATTGTGTTTTCAATACCCCAGTAGGAAAGAAATCCTATACACCCATATGTACAGTATAAAGCCTGGAACAGTTAATCAATGTTTTTTCTTCTACACAGACTGTAGATTAAGGTTTTATAATGCTTGTGGCATTCAGAATGACCTCTTTGATAAGTTTGCGGTCGTTAAGATTCAACAAAGGGGGTTCCTCAAGGCTCATTACTTGGACCGTTTTTAATCATAACTCAAATACAGATATCTTCTTCAATATAAATTGGAGTCTCTATCCTTATGCAGATGACACTGTCCTTTATTATGATGACAGTTACATTCATAGTTTCATTCATTCTCAAACCACTACAGCAGTGGTTCCCAACCTTTTTCGGGTTGTGACCCCACTTTGGTTTCACAAAACTCTGGCGATCCTAGACATCCAAATACTAAAATGTACATGTTTACAATCATGTAATAGTTTCTCTACTATGTTACAATAAAACATTCATTTTAGACCTAGACCACATTTAGGCTTTTGTATATTATTATATAAGGACAGAGGAAGAAAGGATGGTATGACATTTCTGAACAATAGATGACAGACAGACAGAGACTCTGCAAGCTTTTTGTTTTAGCCCCTTTTGAATTCCATGTGACCCCTAGTGGGGTCGGTACCCCAAGGTTGGGAAAACCTTCACTACAGATGTCTATAACCTAAAACATATCTTCTCCCACAGGTGAGTTTTACTAGAGGATTGTGTATTTAATACTCCAGGACAAAGGGAATCCAATTCACCCTTATCTGTATATGGTTAATGGTAAATGGACCTGAGCTTGTATAGCACTTTTCTTCTGACTACTCAAAGCGCTTTTACACTGCAGGTCAAACCTACACATACATACCCATTCACACTCTAATGTCAGAGGCTGCTATGTAAAGAGGTCCATCAGAAGTAACTGACCTCTCTGAAGATAGAGAGGTCAGATAATGTAGGTAAATTCAAGTCCCCTTTTCTTCAAAATAAAACAAGGGAGTTCCTCAAGGTTCAGTTCTAGAACCCATTTCATTCATTACTTAATAAATGATATTAGTTCTTCAATGTTAAATTGCAATATCAATGACCTCTATGCAGATGACAATATTTTATGTTTTGATGCTGATTTTATTCATATTTGATCTAAAACTTCAGCTATATGTTAGCTTGAAAAGCTTAAAAGTAATTTAAGTTGTCAAAAACTTTCCAAAGACAGAAAGGTTGTTGATTTTACATGCAATTTTATTCATTTTTGAATGTTGCATTGCTGACTTTTTTATGCTGCTACTTATTTATTCTATCTATTTATCACAATTGTTTTAAAGGGATAAAAGGGTTGCATTAACTGTGCACTTCACTTTTAATGTAAACGACAAATACACTGAATTTAATTTAATTTAATTGATGATGTCAACATTTCATCTGACTGTAATATTAGACTGAGTTGCAATATTGTATATTTCGGTATCTACATCAATGAAAAGCTCAGTTTTAAATCCCACATTAGTAAAACTGAGATTATACCAAATGGGCTGTCTTTTTAAAATCCATCTGGTTTTCCTTTATTGACAAAAAGAAGTATGCTTAAGCAGTTCTTCACTAAGTGTTGGATCAGAAAAATTGGCACTTGGGAGTCAAATCTCATCACCCCTCACAGATTGTTTTACATGCAGAATCTTGAGAAGTGATTAGATTATATCTTGAACCTGAGTCAGAGCCTGAAGGGGAACGCTAGGGTGGTGCTAGGGCTGATAGTACGAGTGCAGAACTGATGCAGTGCAGTGCGCTGGCAATGATACAGCAAAGCGAGAGACTAGAAATCGTGCAGCTTTATTACACTGCAGAATTAGGAGGTTATATTGTCAGGTGAATCTGGAGAATGACGCATATCAGGTTTGAAATCTTCAGTTGCCTGTCTGAACTAGCTCGCAGACGTCCCTACAATTAAGTTACTGACAGCTCAATAACAATTACCGCCCTCAGGCTCTACCAATAGGAAGGGATTAGCATTCCTACTTATATGTTTGTAAACCTACCCAACAAAAGATTACTTCTTACTTACTGAATTACTGAATTACTGCCACTGTTTTGCTTTAATCCTTTAATTGTCTTGGTTTTTTCAAAATCTGCAGAGGTAAAAAATATGATCGGTCAAGTAGGAGGAACAAACCTTTCCTTGTAGTAGGAATAGAGCAAAGTGCGGATCTCAGCAGATAAATCTGGGACCTGTAGACCCTCTCTGGGCGAGGAGGGCGTGACTGAAAAAGAAGAGAAACAGGAAGAAGAGTTGCTTTAATTATCTGCTGTAAAGAAAGCTAAAATATTTCAGATACCTTCCTTATACTGGAAAGAATATTCCCGTAAGTTGATAAGTGATTGAAAGAGGGGAATTCACAGACACATTGTTCCTCCAGATAGCTTTTCTTCCTGCAGCCTGTCTTAAAGATTGGAATGCAAACTTTGAACATCTTGTTATTCAGATGACACACTCCATTGAAGGCGCTAACATTTTTGATACCCTTGGCTGCATCTATAAAGTGTATCTGTACACTTTTGGATGAGCATGACTGACATTTTTGTCAACAGGTGTTGGAGATAATGCACCTGTTCACGTCAACAGTCTGGCTTGTCACCCAGTGTTGGTGTCGTGCTGCATTATATATCTCTTTAACATCTTGCTATTGACTGTGGCTTTTTTACTGACGTATACGAAGCATGTAGACAGGAGGCGTTACTTTTGATCTGTCTATATAGTGTAAGAATTTGAGGCATGAACAGACATAAGTGCAATTAGAGCATGACCAGCCGATCCAGCGAGTGATGTGTAGGTTTGCCTTAGGCTCTGATTTGGTTTGTAATGTATTGTGGGAGGAGGTGAGTGTTTGTGTGTCTGTCAAAAGAAAGCAGGAGCCTAAAGAAAATGTTTGTGGTTCAGTTAGTTTTTTTTCGGTGAGTACAGGCACTAATTAGCAGGTATCTGCGTCTGTGCTCACCATACCTGGCTCGTTTGTAATGCATTGATTTATTTGTGGCAGTCACGACTTTAAGGTGAGGAGGAGAAGACAGAGCTTTTAACAAGGATAGTTTGGATTTTATTTAGATATGACATTAAGTAGATAGTGTCCAGTGCCTGCTAGTAAGAGCTGGCTGAGCTGTTTTTACATATGCACCCCTTACAAAAGTCTCAAATCCTTTTAGGCAGACTGCCCCTGGGGGGGGGGAAGTCTCCTTAGACTAGACATGACGTAAAAAAGAATGACCCAGAAGTGTCAAACTGAGCAAAAGAATCAGCTGTGCGATGTTGAAATGAGAATATTGTCTTTATATTACTGTTATGTGCAGGTTGACAGAATCACAATATTTTTAAAAAAGAGAAGAGGAGAACATACTGGAGAACAGGAAACATAATGCAGCAGTTTAATTATGTGCATGAAGATGTGCAGACAGTCTATGGTCGTGCACTGATCGCAGAGAAGAAACGTCAGCCCCCCTATTGCTCTAGATGAATTCTCCTGATTATATCCTGCTGCTTTCTCGAATCCGCTCAATTGGACCTTTTGCAGTAAAAATACCGCTCTCTTCCAGCGACACACCTCCAACCCCCCTGAAGGGAGTTATCTCGCCATAAATAAGCACCATTAAGCGCAAACGGCGGACAACATTGTCCTCGACTCGAGCTGCAATCGCCTTTGACCTGCATTGTTGTGTTAGCATGCTAATGTTAGCACTCTTTAGTTTGCTCGTAGCTTCACATTGCACATAAATAAACACAGAATGAGCGTGATCTAAAAACTCTTACTAACATCCAAATAATCAGTGAGTATGTTCTTCTTCTCTCTAGTTCTTGACTAAAACAGCTTTTATACACAAGGGGAGGAGCCGGCCGTCCCGTCCATGTAAACACGGCTCTGACAACAACACAGCCAGCGGGACTCGAGCTTCTCCCTCATTGTAGACAGTCAGGACTCAGAGACACATTTACACAGGACAGACTTTATGATTTATTTATGTGTCAAATGCTGCACGTTCTTCCTTTTCAGATTCATACTTCAGTCCAGCGGTAACTTCAATAACTTGTGTGAACCTTTCTCCTCCAGATCAGATGTGGCAGTTTGATAAGATTTTATGTCAGGATGTGACTGAAGGTAAACCAGCAGAACAGCCTATCAGGCCCCTCCTTGTCTCCTCTACTTGTCTCGTACCTATTTCATGATATAGCGATCCCTGCCTCGCTGTCGTGGCTTTCCTGGATCTGGGCATCTCAATCTTCATGAGGTGATCACAACACTGCTTCCACTTGCCTGCAACACAGAGGATGAGGAGTTATTTGTTTTTTTAAAGCATTCTTCAGACATGAATCAACCATCAGTAGCTAGTTTCTAATAAATGCAGTCAGAGGGTTGGCAGACATTCAATACCTGCGTAATGATGACAGTGCATACCTATAAGAATACCATAAGCATTCATACCAGACAGACAGGGATGATGCAACTCACGTGACTTCTGACATGGAGTAGTATTTAAACATCTTTATCAAAGTCGTCACAGAGTAAAACATGTGTGCTGACATGGTTAAAAATACATTTAAATTAAAGGGTGCTGTTATGGAAAATGTAATCACTGTCATGTAAGCAGGGGTGTGTCCAGACTATTTAGACTGGGGTGGCCCACATGGGGTGCTTGGAGTTTGTGCACCCAAATTAATAAAAAAAAAATGGTGTATCCTTTTTATCCCCACTAATGATATGTAGTTGTAAGTAAAACATTTTGGCAACATATACTGTACATCTTTTTAACCTGATGCTTTTGTGTATCAAAAACTAAGATATATAGACACATTTTATAGTACATACAAACTCTTGCACGTTGTCTAACTTGCGATAACACATTTATTGGCAAGTAAGTCAATCGCAAGTTAGGCAGCGTGTACTAGTATTTGCGTTTAGTTCTTCATCATTTAACAGTCTTTAACCTCTTTGTCTCACTGAGTCAACTCTCAGAGATCAGGGTCAAAGGTCAGATCCGGAGGTCAGCTCTCAAGAGGTAAAGTCTCAGAGATCAGGACACAGAGGTCATGTCTCAGAGGTCGTGTCTCAGAGGTCATGCCTCAGAGGTCAGGTGTCGGTGGTCAGATTTAGAGGTCAGATTTGAAGGTCAGGTCTTGGAGTTTTAGTACCTAAAGTATTCTTATTATTATAACTGAAATAACAACAGCAACAACAACAAAAAATTATTCATTGACACGCAGCCTGCTGAAAAAAAAAAACAGAATAGTTGAAATCAACATACAGTACGCCCCGCCTCTGACATCATTGATTTGGTAGTTTGGATGGCACCTGTGGTGGCCAATCAGATTTCAAGTGGGGGCCAATGCCACCCCTCTGGACACGCCCCCTGGACACGCCCCTGGACACGCCTCGGCACATAAGATAAATGATGCCGTCAAACTTTTACGTAGGTGTGTATAAGGAACAACAATTAAATTCACAAACATGTAATTTGTTAAGAAAGAAAAAATAAAACGTAATGCACGCCTTCATTAGTGTGTCGTAACCCTAACCCTAACGCTTGGGAACATGCAGGTGATTTGATCCCAGATGAAAATTTGACAATGGAACAAAACACTGCAGACAAACAAACTCACACACCCTTGTTTACACCAAGGTGTGGCTCGTCACCACATTCAGGTAATCAATCATGGCGGTGATAACGAGCCACATTCCTGAGCCTGTTCTCCCCCGAGGAGAAGTGGAAGAGCAAATAAAAATAGATTTGCGGAAACAACATAGTTAATCTGTTTTTTTTCGAACACAAATGCAATCGCTCCCTGCAAACACTCTCTTATTGAGGATGATTAATTTCATATCTCACTTCTTAGAAATGCACGGAGGCATAAAAGACGCCGCAATAATGGCCCCCCCAAGGTGCACAGTATCTAACTCATGTTGCATTAGCTCGCTTAGGGACACGCTCCGGTGCAGACGCCGGAGAGAATTGAAGAAATTAGATAACTTAATGAGATAAATTTCAACTTTCTCTCCAAGTGAGATTGCATTCAGAGCAGCAGAATCAACCTGTCGTCTCTTCCTCAGATTAAAGTGAAGCTCCAACCAGATTTCAAGTGAATTTGATGAAATGGTTTTCAAGTCTGAGAAGTAAATTGCTAAAATGTCCATTATAGTACTATTTCCTTCTATAAGATTGAGATGAAGATAACAGGTATTCATCGTTTCTTATGGCATGTGTTCAATACAAACTAATTATACGCTTTGGGATTAATCTGCTCGGCTTTTTCTCAAACCTATTTTCTTGTCATTCAACCCTAAGGTGTCTGAAAACTGAATTTGGAACACATCCTTTCTGCCTGTAATTAAATTGTCTCCATCATCCTTTGTGAGGTTTAAAAACATGAAAAAATGCTAGACGGGCGAGGAGTTTTTTTTCATACTTATATTTTCCACCAAGGACCCTAACCCAGGACACGATATAGTACCATACAACACAACAGGATACTAAGCAATATGATACTCTGTATTGGCCCTTATGGGATGCCTTAGCTGCCTCCACAGTTGAATAAATAGACAATCACAAGAGAGAAGCAGCCACCAATGAAAACCACAAACCCACTTTTATATCACATAACCAGAACTGCATTAAAAAAAACAATGTGAACAGGAGACATACGCTCGAGATGGGCACCCTGAAAGAATGAGCTCACAGTTCTTGTAAGATGTAGTTCTGTGTTTAGAGCAGCGGGGTTCTCAACTGGAGGGTCACGACCCAAAAATGGGACGCGGAGCTGTTCTCTTAGGGTCCAGGTGTGACTGGGGAAAAAAAGGTGTCAAAAAGTCTGTGAAGAGTGGGGCGCTGGTGGTGTAGTGGGTTAGTAAGCGCGCCCCATGTATGGAGGCTATAGTCTACCAAGCGGGCGGCCCAGGTTTGAATCCAGCCTGTGGCTCCTGATTTCTGACTCTATCCACTGTCCCATCTCTTCATTAAAGGCACAAAAAGCCCAAAAATAAATCTTTAAACTTAAAAACAAAACATGTTTGTTTTGTTCCGTCACATGTTCTGTACCGTCTGAGGACCAAACTCCAAATTTGTCATTAAATACATTTGATTGGTTGAAAAATATCCAAAATTTGGGTTGCAATTTTTCATGAAGGAGAGGACGCTGGGTCATGAGACGAGGGCACTGCTACAGAGTACCTGTTGGAGCCATTTTGGGTTGGGCTGACTACTGGGTGTGCCCTGTAAACCCAGTGAGCCAAACTTTATTTAAATGATGCTGATTGGCAGCTGGTGTGGTGCACAATTGAGGTCAATGGTTTTCGGCCGTGGCACATAACTGACAGAGAAATGTACGTCGACAGTACTTATGAATTCAGTTTTTGTACCCTCACTTTAAAGTTTTTCCATCCTGAAACTTTTTTCACGAGTACAAGAAACGAGTTACTTTATGATGTTATCAAACACGGTGATGACATTTTTGTACAGGTTGTTGTCTGGATGAAAGTGAGGACATATAACCTGCAATGTCCACATCGGCGCCATGCACTGCGGAGCCAATCGCTTCCTCTCTGCACACCACTCACCTCTATCACTTTATCAACATCATGTCCTAACTGGCACCTTGTTCTCTTTCTTCCTGCGGGATCTTGTAGTTCTGCCTCATGGCTGCGCTCGCTCCTGACCCAGTTTGGTCGGGTGCGCGCCGCAGGGCGGAGCAATACCATTGGAACGCGGAACACACAGACTATGAGGAAATTGTGGGTTAGATTACAATTTTATTTTTTGCACTGAGGATCAGAAAAGAGGGAAAAAACCTGTCCTGTCCTTTTTGATAAGAGAGAAAAATTAGACATTCTATTTCTGTTTAGATTTTTAAACATTCTCCCTGAACGTGTCCTTAACCTTTATCCTTAAATCTCTTTGTTCACAGATCAAGTTGCTGCTCCTTTTTTTATTGGGCCAATTGTGGTGATTTAAGTGGGTGGATTACTTTTTGCAGCGTATCATTATTCATCATCTAACTGAGGGTTAATTGTGGTAATTTCAAAGCTATGATAATGGAGCTTCGGTACAGGACAAACCAAACCGATGAACTGTGACTAAAACAGTGCCGCATTAACTGGATTAGCATTTTATAACTACGCTGTATCTGACCTTATTAAAATCACGTGAATGCATGAATGTGCTTGAGTCATCTCGCGTCTTAGAAATCAGGGTTTGGATTTTATTGGCCGCAACAGAAATGTTCTAGTTCAGTCTTGTTGACGTTATTGAATGCGTCATTTTCAGAATCCCCAAATGTCAATCTGAACAAAGGTTAGCCAGGAATGAGTTCCCTCGTGAGAGCTCAAACAGAGCTGTAACGAAAGCAAACATTGGACATTTATTCATCAATTACCGAGAAACTGAATTGAGTGAATAGTTATTGTTCTCCATTTCAATTTTGATGTGTAAATACAAAAATGTACACTTACAAGTTTATGAGTTAGCATACATTTTTTTGTCCAATTAGCCACACCATAGCTAAGCTAGCACAGCGTCTCCCTGTAGTCGCAATCTTTTAAACGTCTAATTTCTTCTATTTTTTTAACTCTCAGAAGTCGAAGGTGATATCCACCTCAGGGAATCAAAAATTTTATTAGTTTACTGTCATCTTTAAAGATCCGATCGGCCCTGCGTCCACCTAGCGTTTTTTCCAGGGAGAAAAGCGCTAGCTGTGCGTTTGCATGAAGTGTTTGTTTGCTGAGAAGAAAAAGCGCTGCACATCGGTCCTGTCTCTGATATATAACGCTGAGTACCAACAAACAAAGTGTATAATATAAAGGAAGAGTCTGATGGGAATCATATCAGTTACACGCCGACAACCACGAGGACAACTACACGAGGAAGTGATCCTGTTACTTAAAATGTTGCTACAAGATAATAATAGTTTCAGTGGGATATAGTTTCAGTGGGATATAGTTTCATGCAACGAGGCTTTAGAAAGCTAATCCTTCCTTGAAAATAGATATTGTTGATGGTTGTCACTCATAGACTGTAAATATTAATGTACGATGTCTGAGTAACGATCACCCGTCTGTTCCTGCAGGGGGCGCTGGAGTCCCATCGATGGCGGTCTCCATGAAATCCTGTCTCAAACTCACTTTCAGTCAACCTAACGACAGGCTGAGAGCTGGAGCTGAGGCGGGTTTTAAACCTCCTGACAAACCGTCACTCCGCTCCCGCCTCCAGCTAAATGCCTTATTGTGAAACCTCTGCACCTTTAAGAAAAAGCTAAAGACCCAGCTCTTTCATGAATACCTATTAACTTAATGATGATGGTCTCCATATTATTGATGATGATGATGGTAATGACGATGGTTTTTGTTTGATAATGATGACTTATAAGATGGTTTCTATACTGATTAGAGCTCTCAAGAACTGCCCTCAATGTTGTGCTTTGCCTCTGGTCACTTCCTGTCAGCACCTGTGTGTCCAATCAGACTCAAAGCTGATCGTTTGCTCTTACTGACATTGTTCCCTTTTTTCTAGATCCTTGCTTGTGTTGTACTTACTCTCTGATGTACGTCGCTTTGGATAAAAGCGTCTGCTAAGTGAATTGTAGAATCACCCCTCCCCCCCCCCCCCAACATCATGAAGTGTACAGTTTATGCCGATCGAGACATGAGCTAATCACACCTATTTGGTTTTTTGAACCACGCTGTAAACATGCTAATTTCTGCTGTAAAAACAGGCCTTTTTGAATGGGTGTGTATGTGACTTCCTGTGCTTCTGCAGCACATCCTGTAGTGGACACTCGAGGAACTGCAGGATTATGCACTTCAGCACCTGCTCCATTTTTCAACATCAGAAGTTGCCACTTGTTGTCACTGCAATTAACGATAATTATAAGTAAATCTAAAGAATGCAATGTTTCAAAATAATATAAAAAGTGATCTTAGTCTTTAATGAATTAATAAAACGTGACATCAAGTCATTTTATTGTTTCTGTTTACTTCTGTATTGATTTGCCTTTATATAATGTTCCTTATACTTTCCTGTCTCCTTTCAGTTTTTTTTCTGTTAACTGGATTTTCCAGTAAACTATAAAAGATTGTATTTGTTTCTGTTTTATTTTCCCTACATTTTGTACGTGTGGTGTTATTTTTTATCCTTTAAACCTGTCTTTAATATTTCATCTTCAACTTGCAAATAAGTAGGCGTTGTTCTCTTCACCGTCCAGACTAAAAGTCTGCGTCTCATGATGTCAGTCAGCCATTGGACAAATATTTTCTGTGCGACACTGAATGCATCAGATGACATTCACATTTCCCCGGTGCCATGAATGTGTCACTGAGGAATGTCGTCCTGCAGGTATCAGGAGGTATATGTTGTGTCTTTTTGATAAACATCCCCTCCAACCATTTCCAAACAGACTAGTCTGAGCTTGAATCACGGCTGTTGTAAAGTTAATTATGTCCCTCCTCTTCTTTTGGATGAAGACAGGAGAAGAACAATGCCCAGTTATGTTTTGTAGACACTGAAGCAGTCGTTCAAAGAACTAGCATAACCGCCCTGTGGCGAGAGAGCTTCCAGGGATCAGTCAGGTGGCAGTTCATATCCAGCAAACTGAATGACAATGAGGGCGGGGCGGGATATTTATATATTGAAACGATTTCAAAGTGAATATTCGCCTGAACAAAGCAAGTTGCACCAAGTCTAGGCATTTTTCTCAAACTGATGTTGTTGACTTTTTTCTTCATTAATCCCAGAGAGGAAATTCGGGTTTACAATTTTTTTTAGGAACATGCTTCTCCACATAGGCCTGAATCACACGCTGCTACACAGAGAGTGCAGCAGAGTTGTTGAGGGTTCAGTGCCTTGCTCAAGGCCCCCCCCCCCCGCAGTACTCTAGGAAGTGACCTGGCACCTCACACCTGTTTGTGAACACACAAACACCCTATTATTATTACACCCTCTCCAAGAATATAGAGTTTGGCTGCACAAGATTCAAGATTCAAAAAACTTTATTGTCTATCACATTGTGACAGAAAATTACCTTTTGTTGAGGCTCAACATGAAAACATACAAACATTCACACTTACCCTCACATTAGGTCATAAATAGCTAAAATTACCCTAAATAGGTAAAAACACATGCACAGCATTTACAAAACATTGCTTATCTAGCCTTGTTTAAAATGCGTATTGCAGTGGGAATTAAAGAGATTCTGTAAGTTTTCTTTTTCGCCAGTGGTACTCTAAAACGACTGCCTGAGGGGAGCAGCTGAAACGAGTGATGAAGGAAAAGAAAAAAAGAAAAAGAGCAACCCAAAATCACACAGCAAGCATTCCTTTGAAATTCTGTTATTTACCTGGTTGCCATTGAAATGTATTGATCAGCATCTGTATCTGATGTGATCTTGTGTTTTGACCATTTGATAAAAGTAGAGGTGTCATGTGTTACGGCTAGTGGGCTAAAAAAAAAAAAAAGAGTTTGTACAATGAAGCCTTACTCATGTTGAAGACGTGCCTCCAGAGAGCCTCCGTCCAGAGCTGTGTGTCTTCAGGTGTGTGCGTGGTCAGTGTGTAGGTGACATCCTCTCCCTCATGCTCTGTACTGATGAATATGCTCTGGCACGGGTCAGGATCGGTTTCTGATAAACACACAAGGGTATCCTGAAAAAAAACAGAAAAAGATTACACACACACACACACCTGATGATTACGGACCCCAGATCATCAGGCCTTGCTGGAGGTCACATGACAGAGCAGCAGAGGAATGGTTTGTGGGAAACATCCACACAGATAACACATTACTGTAAACCACAGTGTTGTTATTGGAAGCTGTCAACGGTTGATTGACAAAATAATAGCAACGCTTAAACACCTTTTGTACAGAAGCTAACAGGTGAATCTGCTGCCAACAAAAACCTCTTCATCCTAAAAAATGTCAAAACATTCTCTATTTCAATAAGGTCCAATTCAAATTTGGATGAGTTGACATCTTTAAGACCCCCGTGTACACAGAGCGTCTTTTTTCAGAGAGCGTTTGCAGCAGAAAGCCACCGCCTGGATGAAAGAGCTGCGCCCAGCGTCTTCTTTACAAGCGCTCTGCCGTTTTCACCGGTGCTCTTTTCAAAATGTTTGATATTCCCCCGTATTTTAACCTCCTACAGATCGTGTCTTGTACCCACATCATCTTTGCTCTGTGTCTGATCGGGTAAAAAACGATATAAAATATAAAACATGCAGTAAAAAGTAAAGGAGCCGTGTCGGTCATACAGCGGTAACTGTTGTCATAGAGACAGGACGGACTTCATGCAAACACTCCCGAGCGCACAGCCAGCGCTTTTCTGCACCGGATAAAACGCCAGGTGGACACAGGGCCTTAAGTCAAATATTCAAAGTTAAGTTAACAGAGTTCCATCAAACATCCCATAATTTCTTGAGAGTCTCAGTTTTGCAAAAGGTTTCCCCTCACAGGAACTTTGTCATTAATTCATCAGTGCACTCTGGTGGCCTCGGCTTGTTATTGTAATCAACGTGGACAAAAAGCTCTCAAATGAATCCATCTATTTATTCATGAGACTCAGGTTCATTATCACCAACCTTTCTGACGGGGATCACGAGGAATGGCTCGTCCTCAGACTGCAGGTCTCCTTCGCTCTGATAGCAGAAGAGAGTTTGGCCCCTGAGGACGCCGTAGACATTTTCCCAGCAATTAGAGTCCTCTTCAAGCTGAATGAAAGTGATTCAGTGAATAACAATGTGATACCATATTTTGGATGGATTATATTCATAATAAATGGCTGCTCACCTTAACCCTGAGTGGTCCGCTCATCACCGGCTGAATCATGCAGAGAGGCTGAGCCCTGAGGCGGCAGCACATGTTGCCGTACAGAGGCAACCAGAAGGGACTATCCTCTGGAAAAACACAGATCAAGGATGGATTATCAGGAGGGGGAAAGGGAAAGGGAAATCATGGAATTGAGAGGGATGATTAAAAAGACAAGAGGAGACTCACCTGTTGTTGCTATTGACAAATCGTGTGTTTTGAAACCTTCCTTGATGTGATCGATTGTCAGAGTCGCGTAAGCCAGCAGGTTGTACTTTGGCCCCCTGAAAATAGAGCATGTCAGAATCAGAATCAGAATCAGAATCAAAATCTGGGTTTATTGCCAAGTACATTTACACATACAAGGAATTTGACTTGGTGTATTGGTGCTAAACAATTAACAAGGAAATAAAGCAGAACTAGAAACAACTTAAATAATACAGTATAAGAAGATATTACAATATATAAAATAGAATTAATTTTTTTTTTTTAAATTACAAAATAAAATTAAAATTAAAATTAAAATTAAAATTAAAATTAAAAATTAAAAATTAAAAATTAAAAAAAAATAATAATAAATAAATAAAAAATAAAAAAATAATAAAATAAAAAGTAAATAAAATAGAAAATAGAAAATAGAAAATAGAAAAAAGAAAAAAGAAAAACACAAAATGTACAAAAGGTGTAATGTAGGAGCTGTGCAGTGGACAATGAGAAAAAATCTTGTAACTACTCACAGAGTGCATTTAAGAAAGATACATTTTTAAAGTCCAGTGGGCGTTAATGTAACGCATAAAGAACAGTTCAGCATTCACATTTATGTTTAAAGTTGAAGATAGATATGTAGCTTAAAGTGTGTGTTCGATGCGGTCATCCGCATTCTTGTGTTCCTGGGTTCTTATGATGGTTCTTATGATGGTTGGGTTATGTATGTCTGGTTGTGTATCATGCACTTTGGGTTCTTTTCTGTTGAATTGTATTTAATTATTTTTGGTATTTTGCATCTGTTATATTCTTACTGTTGTTAATGTTCTTCTGTGTTTGGTTTAGTTTGTTCTTGTTTTTGCTGTTTGTCAAAGCACTTTGTAAACCTGTGTTTTTAAAAGGTGCTATATAAATAAAGTTATTATTATTATTATTATTATTATCCTTACAGTCTCGACATGTTGGAGGAGAGAGGTGGTGACACACTTCCAGGTGCTGCGAATCCAGCGCTTAAGACCGATCCGCAAACTGCCGCCGTCTCCAACGCCGCTCTGATCTTCTTCCCAGAGGAGCCTCCCAGAGAGCCACCCAGGTAGCTCCCTCTCCTGGGCGCGAGGATCCCCGGGGAGAAGTCCTCGACCGCACTGCTGCTGTAGAGCTCGAAGCGGAGCTGGAAGCCCGGACCTGCCTCCTTGCTGCTCACACACACACACACACACACACACACACACACACACACACACACACACACACACACACACACACACACACACACACACACACACACACACACACACACACACACACACACACACACACACACACACACACACACACACACACACACACACACACACACACACACACACACACACACACACACACAGAAACATGTATTTAAAGATGCATCATGACTTTTTAAAAAGAGGGTTTGAACAAAAACTGAACCTCTGAAGAAAGTGTAGAGGAGCGCTTTCTCGCTCTCCTCTCTCTGTTTGCTCAACTGCATATAACTAACTCTGAATCTTCTCTGACTCTTATCCCACATTATCCCATCCCAAGAGAACCTGTCTCTCTTCAGCTGTCCTATCAAATAAAGGCAGTAATATTGACTCTCTCTTCATTTTCAAACCTCATCTCAAAACTTTTTAAACTGGCATATTCAGTCTGCTCATTCTCCATCCGGTGTCATAACTCCTTTGCATCTGGTACATTTGTGTTTTTTGTGTTTTTAATGTTCATTTTATTGTTGTGTTGATTCTTTGTTGTTTTTATCTCTGCTCTGTAAGGTGAACTTCAGAGTTTTGAAAGGCGCCTTTAAATCAAATGTATTATTATTATCAAAGAAACAGAGACCAGGGTCTAGATCTGCTCTTGTTGTTTTGTGTCGAGATGGGCTGGGTATGAACACATCATGCATATGCAGGGCAAAAACAAAAACAGCAGAGAGAAAAAAGGAAGAAATGGAAGCACACTTGCTTAAATGCCAACAAAAAAAGTTTGTATTAAATCACAACGTTTTGGACCAGAAGTCTTCTTAAGGAAGTGATTTTGGAGATGAATTAGAATTATGACCTGCACATGACCTGAGGTCGAAATGTTGTGATTAAATATTTGAACTTTTTGTGGCATTTGAGGAAGTGTGTGGACATACCTCATTTTTTCACTGAAGTGTTTGAGATAACATTTGTTATGACAGGAATTGACTGATTAATGGACTTACAATACGATAGTGTCTTCAAAACAGATGTCGGTTAAAGTCCGGTCGACCATGACCATGTCGGTGTCGTAGATCTCTGTGCCGCACTGAAGCAGGCAGAACACGGCACAGCGATGGAGCTCTGCAGGTCAGAAGAACAGAGAACAAATAATTTCAAGCGAAAAGAACAAGCCATAATGAGGTTAAAAAAGGTTTCCATTCAATCCAGGAGCAGTATGTAACTCTGACACCTAGTGTTTAAAATGGGTACTGCAGTCCAGATTCTAAACATCATAGAGAGCTGTCTCCCCCCCCTCGTCTCTAGAGTGGATGCTCACTCAGGTCACCATGTGGTGGACTCTGAAGCTTCAGTGTTTATCCAGCTCTGCATGGGTCTGTAAACCTTTCTGTGTTCTAACCTCTCTCCATTTTTCAAAAGCATCTCCAATATTGATCCTAGTTTGAGCACGTTTCTGCTCGTGGAGCTTATTAGAAACATGCAGAGGCTTTTTAGGTCGGGTACAATCACTTCTATCTGAACCACTTCTCTTGACCGCTTCCATCGCTGCAACACCTGTTGACCTGATAACTGCTCTCATATCTGGCAAACGGAGGGGTGTCCAAAACGACCGTGTGGGGGTGCCTTAAAACCTCCTACCTTCTCTGGTCCAAACAAATCCAGAGCATTCAGGAGCAGAATCTAAAGTTAGAAGGAGGACATACTGGCTGCTGCATTGTTGTCAGAGAAGCCAGCACTTCAACATAGCATGTTTCCTTAATGTCTGATCATACAGTAAGATCACTTTATCATTTCACTCATTACAAATCTCACTGATTGGTTCTTTAGATTTGTCTAAAGACTTACCTCCTTTGTTTTTGAAGTACTCTGAGTCTTTCCACATCAGTGGGATTCTTAGATCTGCAGAGTGCAAACATTAAAACAAGAAATATAAAGGCAAAATTCAACTTTTTTTCTATATGAAATTAATTTTATTTTTCAGAAGTATTTTTGTTGACACTCACCTGAAAGCGCTACTTTTCCCAAACATGGCACCACATCTTCAGAGGGCCTGCAGTAAAGTAAGAATCCAACAATGCATTCATACTTGCACACACAGAAATGTTCAGAATGTACCGAACAAAAAATAACAGGAACATTCATAAAAACCAGAACAAGGGTACAGATTACAGCCTGAAGGAGAAGAACACAGTTCATACTGAGATATCCGTAACCAAATCTAGAACAAACTGATTATATCATGTTTTGAAAAGATTGTACTTTGATTGCTTTGTAGCACATTGTGTTTTATTGGAGTGTTGACAAAAAGAGATTTGTCTGCGTGAGTGTAATGTTACACGTATACACCTGCAATCGAGACACAAAAGATGTGATAAAAAAAAACCTCACATGAAAACAAAACGACGTCTCTTGAAACATGAGACTTCAAGGACTGAAAAAGTGGGTTTGTCCGCCCTCTAGTGGCTGTTTGGGGTAATGCACCATGTCCACAAACACTTCACCTGCTCCCCTGCAGAACAGCTGTATAACATTCCTTAACATTCCTTAACACCCCCACCCCTCCCTCTCCCCCTCCTCTGACTGTGTCTGACCTGCGTTCCACTCTGTGCAGGATTTGCGCTTTCCTCATCCTCTGCAGTTGGCTGAGCAAGGCCAGAATGCGGGAGTTGCAGGTGAGCAGGCTCTTGGAGGCCTCCAGGGCCTGCTCTCTCCTGGAACAATATCCCAGCAGCTTACTGGCCCCCTCCCGCATTCTCACCTCCTTCTCAATCTGCTTCAGCACCGCTTCATCCTGTGTCGAGATTAGAGGAACAAAGAACATTCTTTTAATTAACTAATAACAATATTCATAATCTCTTATCTAGAAATGGAAAAAGGATAATCCGCTTTGAGCATTGGGGGGCTTGCACAGAGAATTATCATACTTTCAGAAAACCAAAGAGTCAAAAAGTCAAAGTGTGACTACACTGCATTCTTAGTTCACACAGAAATACTTGGAACAGTAAAAAAAAAAAAAACTTGGGAGAAAAAATAAATACTTGAACAACTTTTGAATGGATTGCCTTTAATCTCTGAATGTGTGTTCATGAGGAATCGTTCCAACTAACAATGTTAACCCCCCCTCACTTTTCATTCATCACGTTATTAGGCTGAATTTATTAGCCTAGTCCAGTGATTCCCAAAGTGTGGGCTGCGGCCCCCTGGTGGGCCGTGTGGGTACTGCAGGTACGAAAAGCCCTCAACCAAGTATAAAAATAAAAGAAATATCACAATAATGATTTACCATGAGTCAACCCTTTAAGTGATTAGTAAGGCGTGTCATGACTATTCATGGACATAATGTTTAGTAAACATCTTGCCATAATATCATTTGTTCGTGGCAGTTTTACGTTTGGGAAAGGCTGGTCTAGTCTAAATATCTCAACACCTGCTTCATTGTATTGAATGAAATTTAAGACTGATATTCATGGTCCTGAGAGATTCAATCCTTTAAAGGCACAGTGTGTAAATTCCACCACCAGGGGGCTCTTAATCAAAACAATAACAACGAAAACAAACTCTGAGTTGTATAATCCAAGTATAATTAACATGATGTTTTTTAATCACAACAGAACAGTATCGTATCGTATCATATAGCCCGTATCGTAGCCTGTGATCGTCGTTCATTAGCTTCCACAGTGCATTGTCGACCTAAACCGTTTTGGGGACTTTTTAAAGAGGAACTATACAGTAGGGAGTCCCGAGAACTACACACACCATGGAGACTTTATTTCTGTCTGCTCAGCCATGGTACCGGGAGAGTACCTACTCTGAAGCAGGACCTAAAAAGGTTCCTCTAAACTCGGTTCTCTAGGAACTAAAATAGTTCCAAGTTCCTGCGGTGCAGAATCAATACAAAAGGGGGCAGGGTCCCAAATTCTCCCAAAACATTCAGACAGCTGTACCAAATGACAAACTGGCAATACAGAAGACTGTATACTGATATGGACGCCATGTTGCATTCCAGGGATTGGTCATCCACATTTCCAGTTGTTCTTGATGATGATGTAAACAAATACTTTATGAACAATTAATTATTTATCAGGTGACAGTCACCATCATAAGCCTCATAACTTTTTAATAGAGCTGATCCTTCAACTGGAAACACCCCAAACCAGACCTGTTATACAAGTGCCTGGTCATCACAGGGAGACAATGTAAAATTAGTGCATCAGACTAATCCCTGGATCCAGTCCAGGATTCAGAGCTATAAGAGCTGTCAGAGCTCTCAAGTGATTTCTGGTGACTTTGTTGAATTACAGAGAAATGACAGAATGCATGCTGGATGAATATAGTGAAACTTAACCTTTGATTATGTCTGTAAAAAAATAGGTTTTGTTGTTCTTGGACGGGTCGATAAACAACAATGTGCATGGGGGAGAAGGAAAACCTCTGCTAAAGTCTCCATGCAGATGATGGTATTCAATCTTTAACAATCAATAAATATTTATTTGTATAGCCAAAATTCATAACAAAATGTTATCTCAAGAAAAGAGCAGTTTAAAGACTTTACTCTTTGATATGTTACCTACAAAGACCCAACATGAATCCATCATGAGCACTAAGCAACATTTAGAAAAGTAACAGCGGATACAGAAAATGTGATACAGGGAGATGCAGGAAGAAGGATAGGGACAAATACAGCAACAACAGCAACAACAGCAACAACAGCAGCAACAACAACAACAGCAACAGCAACAACAACAACAACAAATAAGATAGATTCATTGTTGGAATTCTCCACTGGTAATCCACTTAGCTTGGTTTCTAATTTGGCTATAAATAGGAGAGGGATTGTTGAGTGTTGTTTTGGTTTCTCTATTTAATTTTTGGTCTTAATCATTTTTCTATTGTTGTCAAAATGTTTGTTCCCCACAAATTAACTGTGAAGAGAAAATAACAATCTAATATTAAAAATACATTCATTATGCATAGAATCTGTAAAGGAAGATTGTGCGACATGTTCCACATAAATAAATCATAAAGTCTGTCCTGTGTAAATGTGTCTCTGAGTCCTGACTGTCTACAATGAGGGAGAAGCTCGAGTCCCGCTGGCTGTGTTGTTGTCAGAGCCGTGTTTACATGGACGGGACGGCCGGCTCCTCCCCTTGTGTATAAAAGCTGTTTTAGTCAAGAACTAGAGAGAAGAAGAAGAACATACTCACTGATTATTTGGATGTTAGTAAGAGTTTTTAGATCACGCTCATTCTGTGTTTATTTACATGCAATATCAATCTCCGAGCTAACTAAAGCGACATCTCGATCAAAAAGTCACACAACCTTCCTCTAAGAACAAAGCTACAAAGCACACTTAAGTTCTGATGTCCATGATTTTCTTTATGTTCTTTTTTCTACTTTGTGGTTCTCTTAATGGATCCTCCGTTTCTTGGTATGCTTTCGGTGATTCTTTAATGGCATTAACATTTCTCAGTCTCGAGTGAATGACGCTTCATGCCATACGAGTCGGGAAAAGTACAGCTTAGGGATCAGAGGTTCCTTGCATAATTCAGTCATGTTTTCTGAGCTTAAGCTCTGTTGATAGGCGGCTCTCTTGTTCTTAATAAAGCGTTCAAAAGTTACATAACATTTGGTTCATTCAGCTGATTTACAGTTTTGCTACATAGTATTGTAGTATAAAGAGTATCAGGAGATCACTGGTTCAGTTCAGATCTAATGCTTTGAACTGTATGGTTTATTCTTAATGAAAACAAACATGGATTAGAAGGGGAGCCAATAAGAAACCAACACTAAACACTGGAGAATGGATCCAAAGTCCTTTTTCCCACACAAGTGATAAAAATTGTTTGTATTTTCGTTGTTTTTTCCCAATTCAATTCACATGAATTGGTCACACACACAATAATTTAAAGTACAATGTGAAGTGGTTTTGGTACCCTTCCAGACAATAATTCTGCCTTTAATATACATGAAAATGTGGTACCTTTCCATCCATGAGATATACCCATAATAAACATTAAATATGTTTTGTTCAGCTCAAACGCGTCAGATTGAGTCAACTTTTATTTTTCTTACTTTGTCAATCATATTTCCCAATGACTCGACTTCTTCTTCTCTTTTGTAAATGCTTTTAATTAAAAGATAAAGATGAAGATTAACTTTATTGATCCCCCATGGGGGACAGCTCAAGTCTAAATAAAACAAGAAGTTAAAAATCAAAAATCAAACATATGTACATCAATAGATCATTAGAATAGAAATGTAAATATCCTGTGGGAGTTTATCCATTTTATATTTACAGATGGTGCTATTTTTAACGTGTGTTTCCCATGGGTACTGATTCAGAGCATCAGGAAGTATTTACAAATTACTCCTTACTTTCCTTAAATAGGCACGTCTTTCCACTCCTTTTCGGACGTATAAATTGAAATAGAAAATATTTGAGAGCTTCTTTTGTATGATGCCCCCATCTTACTTAAAAAAAAAAATTCAGTCTTCTTTTCTTCTTTCTTTTTTTACATTAAAAGATTCAAACTTTAAATGGTAATAATCAGGATTTTTCTCTGGATGACATTAATTAAATGGATTAATTTAAAAAGGAAATACCTGTATATTTGTTTATGCTGGTTGTCATTATTAGCGATAGATTCTCGGGGTTCCCAAAATAAAAATAAATACTCTTTTTGGATATGGTTAACAGGATACCAAATCCCCCCCCCCCACTGTGTTTGAATGGTTTATTCTCGGTCACTGTAAAGTTATTATAACGGCATACTTAAAGCTCAGATTTTGGATATCCATTAAATCCCAAAACAAACAAGATTTGACGAGTAGATTAAGTCTCGTACGGTTTAAAACCACAACCAAACATAATAAAACTATAAACATACACTCCTTTACTCATTACCTTTATTACCACCAGTAAGGTTGAAAATACACTCACCTGTATATTGTCATTCATGATGCTTCAGAGGTCTCTGTGTGGTCTCTGTGCGGTCAGCTGGAAGCACAGTTAGTGGACTGACTAATCTCACAGCTGAGTGAAAGAGTGTTCACAGAGGACAGAGCAATTAGTTACTCAACTGAGAGATCAAAACAGTATTAAACGTCACTAGAGGAGGTCGCGGCAGGCGAGATTAGAGGATTCTTAGAGCTTGTGGGCCTTTATTCCGTCCGCTTTATCACTTATGACGATCATTGTGTGAACAAAGAGCGGATATTTACATCACCTTAAGATACTTATTAAAGCGAGGAAGTACAGTTAAGAAGGTGTAGTTACTGTAATAAGTCAACAGTTATTACCAATTAATTATAAGATCATTAACAGTGTCTTACCTCAACGTAAACAGATGTTTTTTTATATCAGCAAGCAGTTAAGAAACCTTTAGCTTCACCTTGCTCTTAATCGGATATCTGCCCATTGTATATTTTGTCACAGAGGAAGACATATCCTTTAGAAAACAATAAAAAATGACAAAGAAAATCCCATTATTCATACAGAAAATTGTGAATTTTGTATCGTCAAATCACAATAAGAGTTCAGTTCGATGCAAAGTCAGTTGCGGTGGTTTGGGCATCTGATTAGGATGCCTCCCTGTGGAGTTTTTCCGGGCACGACCAACTGGGAGGAGACCCCAGGGTAGACCCAGACTTCCTTGGAGGGATTTATATCCCGTCTAGCCTGGGAACACCGCGGAATATTCCAGAGCTGGAAAAGGTTGCTGGGGAGAGAAGGAAGTCTGGGTTGACTTGCTGCGCTTGTGCCGACCTTGGATAAGCGCAGCAAATGGATGGATGGATGGACAATAAGAGTTTGCTAAACTGGTAGCTGTCATCTGGCTTCAAAGTCCAGTAATATCTGCATAAAAACTGTTTTTTTGTGCGTTTTTTCTGAAAAAACATTTCCCAAGAAAAAACATTTTTAAGGTAAAAAAGAAGCGGTTCTAGCTCTGCACCTTGTGGGACTCCATGACCAACTTTTGGTGTCAGAGTATTCAAAGTAAACAAACACAAACTGACATAGATCTTATAAACAGGATTTAAAGCAGCTTAACGCTGCTCCTTTAATGCCAATTAATGGTCCCAGACTCCGTAAGAGGATGTGACAGTCAATTGTGTCAAATGCCACACTAGAGAACTAGGACGACAACACAGAGAGATGTCTTCCCTGACTACAGCAGATCAATTTTAACTAAAGTGTCACCCAGTTGTTTTCAGAGAAGACAGTGAACGCATCACGAGATGAAAAAAAACAAGATGGCGGCTGCACAGAGTGAATCAAGTAGTGGTCGAAGAATACATTTTATTCATATCTTACATAATTCCAGTTTTTACTGTAAACAACAAGTGGAACATCTAAAGTGAAGAACAAGTGAAGTGTTTTCTGTTTTAGGTATCAAACATAATAAATCTGAATGTTGAACATCTGTATAGGACCCATGAACACATTCTCACAGTGAAATGAAAAGACTGCTGAAAGTTCTGTAAACAAAGTTGAACAACCTCGGCTCTGTACACGGTGATACAGAGGTGTGTAACGTTATGCTTTTACAGCTCCTGGCCTTGTCTTTGTTTTGTAAAAAACGAGCTAATTAAAGACTGTTTGTGTCAAATAAAAAAAGAAGCGTTTCTTGTAACAGATGTTTTACAATGAGCTCAAAATAAACAAGAGACATTTTACAAATTCGAACATAGAACTGTACATGATGTCAAGTAATCTGTTGTTCTTCCTGAGACTTCTGTCTTTGCAAGTATGAAAACAGAAAAGGTATGAAAGACAAACATCACTAACTGGTTCATATTTGTACAATATTTACATTTACAGGTACCAAATGAGGGCGTCCGAGGCTTAATACTGAGGCCAGCTACACACTAGAGGATTTTAAAAACATGGGAGACCACAGACGAGAGGAGAGTCACTGATTTTTTAAATTATAATCCTCCGAACACACACACACACACGACTCAGCCAGACCAAGAGACCACACACCAGTTGTTTGAAGTAACGACATCCCACAGGACCTTGCGTGATGAAGAACTACAAATATGGAGGACGATCAACATCAGTCGGCCATATTGCGGTATGTCTTACACGAGACATGTTTATGTTCCCCTTCATGTTTGTGAGCTAGTGTTGTAGTACTCTGAATCAGTTTTGGTCTCAAGACCGGCATCAAGACCACTTTTTGAAGGTCTAGGTCTCAGACTGGGCGGACTCTGGGTTTTAAATCAAGACCACCACTGACAGGCTATTTTAACATCATTCCTGTGATTAGAAGGAAAAAGTCTCTTTCAGGCATTTCTAGTTTGATTTTTATCCAACGGTTACAGATGCAACCTTCCTGGTGTCACGGACAAAGTGAGTGACAAGCACCCTGCACACAAGATGAGGATTTTTCTGTGATATTTATGGTCCTGGTCTTGTCTCGGTCTTGCCCTGCCTTGGTCTTGGTCTTGACTCGGTCTCTATCCCTAAAAGTCTTGGTCTTGTCTGAGTCTCCTTGGAGCACTCTGGTCTCGGGTATGTCTTGGTCTTAGTTAATGTGGTCTTGATTACAACACTATTGTGAGCTGAACAAGTACGCAAAATCCGATTGGTGATGCATCCCGGTCTGCTTGCTCTCATTGGCTATTGCGGGCATTAAGTCGGAGGCAGCACGACCCGTAATTCTAGATTGGGGAGGCTCCAACTCGATCAGGATCAGCATAATGATCGTATTGGCACAACACACTTGAGGACATTTGGACAAATAGTTGCTCTTAACAAGTCTTGAATCAGGCCACGCCCCTCCCCTGTCTGATCGTTGAGAGGCCTAAAATCTTCTTGTGTGTAGCTAGCTTAAGTGAGTGATTGGGGATAAGCTGCCAAAGTGAGTTAAACTAGTTATTATCTGATCTAATGGCTTTTCAACAAGAAGGAACTTCAGAGTAATTCAATGAATGTACATATTCAAAGTGCTTGGGAAAAAAAAAAAAAAGAATTTTGTCAATTAAGTAAATCTATCTTCCCATCATAACTGACAGCAAAAAAACAACAAAACATTTCTGTAATAAATTACACTTTACAAATATAACACAACAAAAACAAAATGTTAAAAAGCAAGCCAGTGGCAGGTCCGTGCTCTCTCACCTCACCTCTCTGTGGCTCTCAGCCCTCCTCCACGTCTGTAAAAATGTCACTTAAGAAGTACTGAGACACGCTGGTTGCCTCTTCTATCGAGCTGCCGTCCAGATCCAGACTCTGCTGGAGGAAAAAACCTGAGAGGAAGAAGACATAATGAGGATCAGGTTTATTAAACTGGACGAGGAGTGTGCAAAAATTCAACTAAAATACGATAAATCTCCATTCCCTGATCTGTACTTTAACCCTTCTTACGTCAAGAAAAGACTGAGACGGAGCGAGCGCCGGGTCCAAGCCCTGTCCGAAGCCAAACGTCTGGCTGATGTTCAGCTCTGAAAGAGATGTTGAAAGGGGTTGTTCCTCTAAGGTTTCTACTGAGCTGAATGTGGGAGCGACTTCATGCGATGTTGAGGCTTCGGGTTCTGGTGCGGATTGTTTTCTTGCTGCACGTGGGGTTTTGACTTTCTGAGCCTTGGATGTTGCTCTCACAGGCGTAGAACAGCTGGGAGGGGCCGTTTGTTCGTCTCAGGAAGGGAGCCTTTGGGATTTCTGTGAGGCAGCGGGAAAATAAAAATAAACATCAACATGGAAACGAGGAAAATCTGATCCAGACTAATAAACTTTCACACTTTTTTCCTCACCTATTACGGGTTACTCTTGTCGGTCTTGCTGAGCTGCTTTCTTCAGCGTCCTTTGAACCAGTTGGAGCTTTCTTTGAATCATCTTTACGTCTGCCACCTTTCTTCTTCTGCTGCTGCTCCTCAGATTCTCTTGGCTGCACAGAAAGCCCGGGGAGCTCTGACTCCTCAGTGGTGTTTGTTTGGAGCGGGGGTGACTCTTCTTCATCAGCAGTGACAGTCGTGCTGGCTTGTTGCTTCCTTGAAGTGTTGGGCTTTACCTGCCGTTTGGCTGTTTGTATGAACACATAAAGATCAGCCAAATATTCTGAAAGTGCATGTGATAAGTGGTAATGGTAATGTCTCAAAAAAGGCGGAGTGCTTGGAAAAAAGACACTGGGTGCTGTACTTTTTTTTCTGCTGTGAACGCTCTCTACCCACTGAATTTTAAAAAAGTGTTTTTGAAATCATACACTCAAATGAGCGGAAATCCCAAAATGAATAAATTTGAATTAAGGCTTTGAGTAATGCATCATTTTGCAGAATAAGGGGCTCGGCGTTGCAGCTGTGTGCGAGGACGCTTAAGGCTTCCACAGCTCCACCTCTGTGACTGTTTGTAGATTGATTAAAAAGTTAGGTTGAGATAGCATTTCCAATATGTGTGCACCTCCTTATGACGTCATGAATTCAGACATTACTGCCTTGGATTTTCTAAATGTATCTGGAAGAATCTATTTTTACAGAATGTGTTTAGTAGTGTTCAAACTCGTACATGTAAACTGTTTTATGTTCAGTAACTGTGTACCTCTTCTTGTTGTACCCTGAAGTTTCTGCTTTGTAGGCGGGGTTTCAGTCTCCTCAGTACCCTCCACGGTTTCTGGTAATGTGGATAGCTGGACTGCAGTACTCTCTGTTCCAAAAACACCAACAATAAATACATATTCACTTTTCCTAATAACAGCCAGTAGTAGTTATTAAAGTAAATGACAGAATAGTGCGATCACTGTACCTTGTGGATCCCCTTGATTCTCAGGGACTGAAACCTAATGTGAGAAAAAGAAAATGGCTGACAAATACAGATATTTGATCACATTGAAGCAACAAGTGGCTCCATGCAAGTTCACTTACCGCACAAGTAGTGGCGTTGGATCCAGAATCTTTGTCATTGATGAGGCCGGTCTCCTCACTCTCCTCCATGGACACAGTGAGAGCAGCGTTAGAAAGACTCTCAACTCCTGCAGCTGTCGAACACTCTGCAGGAACACTGTTGATGCAGGTACAAGAATGTTAGAATCAGACGCCAAGGGAAGAAATGAAAAAGCCTACCAAGTATGGGACGACCGATTCATCTAGAGAAGGCACCGACCTCTGCTGCTGTATCGACGCCTCTGTGACAGGAGGACAAGGAAGAGGCTCAGGAACACTCCCAGCATCTCTTCTTGTTGGCAGACAGGGATCTCAATCAGAGAGAGGATGATAAACTTTTCCTCCGAGTCTGAAGGCATCTGCCCTGACAGCACTGGGGGGGGGGGGGGGGAGGAGAGAGAGAGAGAGAGAGAGAGAAAGGAGTTTTAGCCAATAACTACGAGTACAGAATTAACAGGTGTGAGTGATCGATTGTTGACTTACTGTCTGGAAATATTGAGAAACTGGGATCACTAAAAGACTCTTCTGTACTTGGCATTGGTGCATCCTGGGATTTGAAAAAGAATCAAAGCCACAAATTTCAGGATTGATCCATAAATGACATGCAGTAAAGAGGTTTTTCACATAAATCACAGGATTTCAGATGAGAGTTGTTTTAATCCCTGAAATGACTTGTAATGTTGGTACTACATAGCGTAGTTGTTGTCTCTGTTTCAATCCAGGCGCTGCATCCTTCAAAGGACACGTCTTAAAACCAATTGTATTTCAATGGTGTGTTGAAGGGCGTCCCATTTCAAAGGCTCCTTCGATTCAGCTGACTAATGTGTCCAACTTTTCCAGCGCCACAAAGGATGAATCCAGAGCATCTTTTGTGGAACTACATATCCCTACATTCATTGCGTGCCAACTCAAAGGAAATGGCATCCAAGAGGTCAACGATTAACCTTCTAAATAACTGGTTTCAACTAAGTCAAAAAGCTAGCATTACATGTCTTAAAAAAAGAAAGGGGCCTTGAAACTTTATTAAATTTGTGATTTATTGGTGAAGTTGGTTAATCTAGCTGGTTCTGGTGCAGCTGTAGAAGTTGCTAGGCAACAGGAACAGCGCTTAGTAATGAGAAGGTAAAGGCAGGAACAGCTGGTCGAACAGGAAATCCTCCATAGACCGTCTCATTGCAGTTGGCCTGGTCCTTTGAAGGATGCTACCCCACTTGAACACCAATTCAATTAAATTGATGTCACATAGCATCAATTTAATGTTGACAAGCTAAAGTAATTAATAAGGCCAGACCGAAGTAGTATTTTGGGGCCCATGCCGATATATCAACCAATATATTTCTAAGACGTATATATCTTTATATAGTCTCGTCTTACCTGAGTCGAATGGTCCTGTGCTTCTGATACACAGCCAAACGAGGATCCAGCAACAGTTGGAGGTAAATTCTGGCTACTTAATTGGCTAAGAGCTTCTTCTACTTGTTCTTGAATGTCAGGTTGAAGATCAGGCAGAGCTCTGTGAGAAACAGAGGCATCCACGCCTTCTGAGGTAGGAACGGAATCTGTTGAAAAAAGGACCATAAGCTGTTAACAAGTTGATCCTTTGTCAGGTAAGGGGACTTGATTTTCTTACTGAGTCATACCTGCTTCTGCTTGCTCTGCGTCCTGGACTTGTTGGGACTGGGGAGGTTGGCGACTGCGTCCAAGGTTAGGTTTGGGTTTTACATACCGGCCTCTACGACTCAGAGGGTCTTTTCTTGACTTTAAAGAGTCTGTTTGTTCCAAATGATCTTTGGGAGTGCTTTAAGTGGAAAACAAACGAGCAATGTCAGAGAGAGAATCCATCGAATACTTCCTTTATGTTGGTTTGAAAATGGTTAAAACAATAACAGTTTCGGGTGAGGATCCCCGGGTAACTCATGACACAATGTAATACCAGATATGATGCCCACAATAAGGATTATATCACCATACAGCGTTCCCAATAGTTGATATATTGCAAGACAATCAGAACAGAAGACCCTAAAATTCACCCCAAAAAGTAAAAAGCAGCAAAATTTTATCTATTCACTGCAATTTCCTTTTTTTTTTTTTTATCTCTATCCTACTGTCAACTTCTTCTTTGGTCAATTTAATTTCTGTCAACATTACCCTTATTCATGTCATAGACGCCACCCTGAGGAGTCATAAAGTCGTGAAAGCCTGGGAAATCCAAAGCACCAAATTGTCTTTTCGTTTAAAATACCAATATCTGGCAACAGCGATTTGATTATTGTGTCACTGTTAGTTAGGACAATGATAAATTACAAAATCGATATTTTATCCCACTCCTACTATTTAGATTGTCTTATATTCTCACACAGAATACACATATAGTCTTACCTTTGTGCAGTTGTTTGATTGGTTTCAGAGCATTGTTGGACTTCTTGACATTGTGACTTTGGCAGCTGAGTGCTTCCTTCTGAATCTGATGTGGACTGGTTATTAGTAGGGAGATTAGACTTAATGTGTGACTCTGTGGAGCCTCCTTCTGAAGACTGAGCATCAGAGATAGTAGTCGGCATCTCTGTTGGTTGGGTATTTGCTTCCATAGCTCCAATAAATGTGTCCTGTTTGAGGTCCCAATGTGCAGCAGGTCCAGCCCCCGCCTTGTCACTTGTGGGCATTTTGTCCCATTCAACGTTTAATTTTTCAGTGGTTTTATTTTCAAGAACTGAGTCAGACTGATCATCAGCAGTCAACGACACAGCCTTGTCATTTAAGATATCTAGAGACTCTGAAGGCCCTGACTTTGTTGAGCTGAGAAGTTCTGTATGTAACGAACATTGAATCGTCTTTAAATCCTTGCTGTCTTTGTCTGTGGATTCCAGTTCCCTTTGTTGACTGGTATTTTCAAGAGTGTCCTCTTTGCATTGTTGGGAAGTTCTACTTGTATCATCTGACTGCATTTGAGTCTGTCTAGCTCTGGTTGACGATCCAATGTTGGGTTTAACTCTGGAAACCCGTCGCCTTCTTTGGGTTACACTCTGTTGTGAGCCCTCCGAGCTTGAGTCCAGTCCAACATCTGTCACCGGCTCCTCACTTGAAGATAAGTCCTCCGATGCTTTTTGAGTAGAGCGTAATTCCAGTGAAGATTTTGAAGCTGAAACAGAACCAGTACTTTCATTTTCTCCTAGCTTTTCAGGAGGGACTGTCCCACCACCAAGATCTTGAACATCTGTCTTTTTCTCCTCATTTATAGAAACATTATCTTTGGGTGAAGGAGGAAATCCCAAATCCAATGACCATACATCATCTGGGGCAGGACCAGTGCATTCACTTGTTTTTTCAGGAGATGTCGTGCAGGCTGGTTGGCCCAAAAATTCAACCTTTGTTTCTTCTTGTAGTGTGGGTTTTGGAATTTCAATGGAGTCTTTCTCTACAACGTTGCTAGTGGTTGGTGGTTTAGGACGTACAGTTCTTGATGTCAGAGCTACATTGGGTTTTGGTTTAAATCTCTGGAATCGACTTCTTCTTGTCTGGGGAGAGGATGCATCTTCACTCTCATGTTTCTGACTGACAAGAAAATCTTGTTTAATTGAGTCTATATTTGACCCCTGGTCACCTGAGGATTCTGTGACCACACATGTTTGCAAATCTCTAGAGCTACTTTCAGTTGTCCCAACATGAGGCACCAAATCTTGCACCTTGGGCTGAGATGTTGACGTTGTATCTCTGGTAGTCAGATTTGTATCAGACTGGGCTTCAGATGAGATCTGGCTTTCTGTGGGTCTCTGGTCAAATGTTGCTGAACCAGGTTCAAACTGACAACGAGCAGCTCCAATTTCTTTCTTTTCTCGCTCAGTTGTAGTCATTTCCTCCGTGGGTGCAAGAGAAGTTCCTGGAACCGAAGATGGCATTAGATCTAAAGCAAGTCCAACGCCTTCATTCGGATTTTCAGTTAATGGGATGCAAGTTTGTTCTACAAAAACGTCCATTGTTTTTTCATGGACGTCAGGGTTTTGAGTTGGCTGGGATTGTTCCTCGACAGTTTCTTTAGTGGTTTGAGGTTTAGAACGTACAGCTCTTGATGTCTGTGCTACGTTGGGTTTGGGTTTGACTTTCTGGAATCGACTTATCCTGGTCTTGCAAGTTGATGCTCCTTCGTTATCCTGTTTCTGGCTGACAGGTAAAACTTCTGCAGGCATAGCTGGGGCAGAGTCTTTTTTTGGCTCTTGTTCAACTTGTGATTCTGTAACTACGGTGTCTGATTTCAGCTGATTACCACCACCTCCTCCTGTGGACTTAGGTGTTGGTTGTGTTTCTTCTGCAGCCTGTTCTGTACTCGATGGGGCTACAGAAACGTTCTGGTTTTCTGAAGAATCCGGGTCTAAAGTGGTCCTTCCCAAATTATCCTCACCACCAACGAGTCCAACAACTGTCTTCTTGTCTATGTTAGGTATTTCCTCTGACAAAGTAAGAGCAGGGCCAAATTCCAATGAAGGTGTCGAATCTGAAGCAGATCGATGACCTGTTTTTTCAAGAGAGTTGGGTTCTGCTGAAGGGATTTCAATGTTTGGAGTTGGGTTGGGGTCTTTCTTTACGGTTTCTTTGGTCGTTTGAGGTTTAGAATGTACAGCTCTTGAAGACTTTGCTAGGTTGGGTTTGGGTTTGACTTTCTGGAATCGACTTATCCCGGTCTTGGGAGGAGAGGCACTTCTACTCTCTTGTTTCTGACTGTCAGGTAAATCTTCTACAGATGTTACACCTGAAGCCAGATGCTCGCTGCTTTCTTGGACTGAGGCTGAGTCTACATCTGTCGCTAGTCCAATCTGTAAATCTTTGACTGCTGTGTCAGATGTCACCAGATTATTTGTGCTACTTTGAGTGGTCCAAACATGAGATTCGGGCATGACGTCTGTGGACCATGAGTCTACGCTGTCCTTGAGCCTTTGCGCCTCTGGACCTGATGTTGGTGCATCGGACCTCTCCTGTCTGCCAGATTGCTCTTCTGTAAATTTGACATCTGAGCAACTCAAAAGCACATTGTCATCTTTCAACATGTCTTCATGGTGGGATACTACTTCAGGGATTTCTTCTGCAGCTGATAGTGTCCCAGTGGCTTGAACAAGGTTTGGGGAATCCGTATGGCTCTGTTCAGCAACAGATGTGTCAGGTTGGGATTGCGACTGGGCAGCCCTCGAGGCTCGGCCTAGGTTAGGTTTTGGTTTCACCTTGGATAATCGTCCCCTCTTGGCTGGTGTAGAACCTTTCTTTGAACCCTCTGGACTTGCATGTAATTTAGTGGTAGAGTCCACATCAATACCAGTCTGCTGATTACTACTTTGCAAGCCATCATCATCTGTCGTGCTACTTTGAAGCTCCAAAGTGGTTTCTGAGGTTTGGCCAGAAGTTGCAGGCAAAAAAGGAGTGGCACTGTTTTCTTCTTGTGCATAAGGCATTGATGCAATCTCTTCCTCCAGGTGTGGACTAGCTTCACTCAGATTTACTGATATCGTCTCTGCAAGTGAACATTAAGATACATTTAGTATGCAGGTAATTAATTCATCTTAATTCAATGTAACATTTTGGCTTCTTACCTGTTGTTTGTTCTTGTGTGACTAATTGATTCTGGTCTGGTTGAGAGAGGTGAGCCAGATTGCCGATGGTCAACAAGGTCTGAGCGGCCTCGTTGTAGCTCTCATCTTCAGTTACTGCAATTAAATGATGCACAAAAAAATTAACTCTTTAATACCATGTAAATATATTATATATAAAAACAGGTTTTCCACTGTCGAGCTTTTCAACATACCTTCTGAGTGTTCTGAAGAAAGGAATTCTATAACATCCTGTTGGGAAAAAAATCTATTGTAAGTCAAATGAACTCCTCTTACACTGTACAAGCAAGACTAGTTGTAAAATGATGTGATACATATGGAAAAAATGTCTATTACAATAGCTCCAGTTACACGTCTTTTGCAGAGTTTTTAAAACTAGATTACAACAGGACACAAAAAATGCAAGTTGTTCCATTTGTGCAAAATATGGAGACTGCATCCTTATTCTTCAAACTAAAAGTTTTTGCTTTTGATGTGCCAAAAAATAAACTTTGTTGTGTAGATAATAAAAAGCAGATATTAGAAATTGTATACAAATGTAAATTTGAGAGTAACTGGGAATAAGGATTTGCTCTAACTGGTAGTTGGGTTTTATGCATGGAACACTTACAACTAGCAGGTCCAATTGGTGTTCACAGGGTTCAGCTGTGCCTGTCTCATTTTGTGCCCGCTCACAAGAGGCATCAGGGCACATAGCATCTTGGGAGATGCCCAACACATCAGGCATATTGGCCAAGATATCAAGCTACGTGCAGGATGAGGGGGGAGTCAAGAGTGGAGGGTTTGAATTATGGAATGAAAAAAATCATGCACAACATAAAAAACATGCGTACAAAGACGATGAAATCACAAACAAACTGATTTTATGAAGATACAAAATAAAAGTAATGGAAGGTGTATGTTTCTGCAATGCATAATTGCTGAAGAGTGTCTCATACCTCCTCCATAGTCTCTTCCACTTCTGACATCATGGGATGTGGGGAGCGCAGGCTGGCAGGCACAAACGCCGGTGCATTGCTGTCATTACTGGAGCCACATGCAGGCTGCTCCGCCACTTGTTCCTCCCACTGCTCGTCATTGTCTTCATCGCTGTAGTCTGACTGAGAGGCCCTGAGGGTGACCAGCTTGGGCTTTTTGGACTCTTGGGCTGATTGGGCCTTTGACGTTCTTCCTCTCTTGGCAGGGGGTTTGGGTTCAGGCCGAGCAGAAGGCGCAGAAGTGCTTTCAGATGCAGAGGAGTGTGCATCCTCTCTGGCTGGGTAGTTCAAAGGCTTAGTGGGTTTGGGCACTCTCCCATATCTACAAAACACAATCACACACTGATGAAGAACTCTTAATGGTTTTATATGTCTTTGGGAATAGATGTTGGAATGCCTCTTGATAAAATGACAAATCATTGTACCTGGTGGGTCTTACAGGTTGAACAGTTGTCTCCTCTTCTTCAGAGGAATTGTCATCATTGTCTGACTTTTTATTTGCTTGTTTTAGAGGTGATGCATCTTTGTTTAACTGCTCCGTGGATGTTCCCTCTGTCTCACTCTCGTCCCCCTTATCGGACGCAGCATCTCCGGCCTTTGTGGAAGCTTTGGGAGGCTTTTTGCCCCACTTCCTGCCCAAAGGCAAAAGTGGTTTTGGTGCTTTGCCTCGAGACAGTTTAGCCGGCTTAATTGTAGTGTCATTGGCTGCATTCACATCCCCACTCTTTTCAGACCTGAATGTAAAATAAAACAATTCTATTCCAGCTCACAAAAATCTTACATTTTAACAACATTTTTAAAAGTTTCATTACATGTCTGAATTTGTGTTTTCCGCGGGAAGTGCTGCTTCAGCGTCTTCTGGTATGCAGGAATCATCTGAGTGTAAAAACACAAAAAGAATTACAACGCAAGCAATGCAACCTCATTGGAATTTTAAAAGTCACTTGCACCAGAAACACATGCATTGATAGAATACAACATGAGCTGTTTGTGTACACAATCCTAACTCAAGAACATTTCAAGAAATCCTTGAATGTCAAATGTCTTTGTACCTTGTTCCTTGTCTTTTTTACCCGCTTTGTTTTTCTTGTCTTTTGGCTCCTCCTTCGAGGCGTCGCTCTTTCTTTTGCGTTTCTTTTTGAACTTAGAAACCTCGGCTCCTCCTTCATTACAGAGGTCCTCGTTTTCTTTTTCTCCTTCCCCCTCCAAGTCAGGTAAGCTGTTCTCATTGTCCTCATCTTCCTCCTCCACATCACTCAACTTCTTTGAGTTTTTTCTGCCTTTAGAGGGGAATGAACAAAACACAAGGATTGTTCAAATTAAGACAAAACCAAGGACAAAGAGTGTTAACCTGTCCATCAAAAACAATATTCAAGAGACTTAACCAACAGTAGACATTTCACAGATTAATAAAAATGATGAAATATGGAAATTAAAATACATACTTTTTCTCTTTTTCTTTTCCTTCTTAGGAGAATTCTTCACAGTGACAGATTTGAGTTTCTTCCTGGTTTTCTGAACTTCCAGGATCTTCTCCAGCAGCTTAGAGAAATACTCTATGTCCAATTTGCGCCTCTCTCCTACAAAAGTTGACCATTTAAATGATGAATTAAAAATAACAAGGAAAAATATCTAGAACTTCATGCAACACAATTTCCTGCTGAATACTCACTGAAAGCTTTGTCAACCCTCCAGGAATTTTCTCGTTCTTCTTTTTTGAATTTGTTCTGAAGGAGAAAAAATGTGAATGTGTATTTAGAAAAGCAGCGTGGCTCGATTTTTTTTTTTTTTTTGTGTCTGTTTTCTGCTCTGACCTTTATCTCCGATCGAGATCTGTGAGGAAACAGCTGACAAATCATGGAAAAGTCCGTCCCCACCATGCTGATTGCCAGGAAGAACATGTCGGTTTCTGATGTTAAAAAAAGAAAACAATAGCAGAAATGTTTTAAATAACACGTACAAGGCATCACAAAAGGAATCAGTCAGGTTTCTTTGAGATAAAGTAGCTGTACCTTCACTAGACCAGGGCTTGGAATAGGTCGGTTTCCTGAAGCTTGCGTATGTTGTAGTGGAGCCTCGTTCAAAGATGGGGTCCCGATCGTTTGCTGGGTTCGGCCCTTTGGCTCGCAGGACTTCCACTGTCAGACTGGGACACGGGTTGGGGTTGAATGTATTGTTAAGACAGCAATTATATCTCCACTATAGAACAAGGTAGCTATGTTTGCGTAAAGAGTAAATCTTTACGTTCACATGAGGAAAGTTTCAAAGCATTTGTAAACAATCAATTTTATCAAGTTGAGATAAACACAAAAATCCCAGGGAACTAAATAAACACAAAGACGTTATTTTGGTTTCTAAAGAAGTCCACTGACCTCTCTTCATCGATGATCAGTGTGCCATCCTCTGCTACTTTGACCTGAGGGACCATGAGCGAATCATCCTGGTCCTCCTGGTTCTCCCCGTCCTCCTCCTGAGCCCCCTCCTCTTCCTCCTCCCTCGGGCTTGTGATTTCAGGGACAGGTTCTGGTTCCTTTGCTCTCTCTGGTGACCTGCAAACATGGGACAAAGAAAAAGGTGGATATGAATATTTTATTATGTCATTAAGCAACTTCTGATGTCAACATATGAAGTCTTTCTAAGATTTCTTCATATATGAGTGCACTATCCAGGCTGTTTAATCATTCAGACTGCATAAGGAGAAAGGTGAGGGAATGTCAAAGTAGACGTCCAACAAGCTCTCTCGTCAAAGTCTCTCATTCTACCATGAAAAGCAAGGTCTGTTTTACAAGTTACGCAGGTCAATCCTTTCCTTTGCAACACTCAGGGAGAAATGCTCCGAGGCTTTAGAAGTTTTAGGACGCAATGGTGTTGCATCGGTCGCACCATTATGTTGTGTTTTGCTTAAAGGGGACATATTATGAAAAATCCACTTGTACAGTGTTTTTGAACATTTATTTGGGTAACCTGAGTGTCTACTGACCCACAAAATGTGAAATAAACCCATCCAGTCCTTTGTTTGTGGTCTGCATAAGTCGTACAACACAGAGAAAAATGCTCTGTTTCAAATGTGCTCTCCTTGTGATGTCACAGTGGGATTCTGGTAAAAAAAAAAAAAATCCCCTCCCCTCCCCGGGTATCTCCACCCATGGACTCCACCTCCAGCTTAGAACAAAACTTTTGAGCAGGTGCACCATTTTTATTCTCACTCAGTGATGTCTACTGGGAAAACTCAGGGGGGGCTCATTGCATTTAAAGAGACACACACACCAATACGGAGCGTTCTGAGAGAGCTGGTTTATACAGGGTCACAAACCTCCTCTGGTGCTTGATTCATGTTATATTTTGACCAATAATAAAGCTTGTTGCTGACTGAAACGCAAAATGTTCCAATCAAGAAATATCAGAACGCAACATACTGTGTCTCACTTTTTCAATATTCAAGCATTGATTGCAAACAAACACAGAAAGTCAGAAATAAATCTCCTTTAGTGTTATTCCCCTTTAGTCACTGTTTACAACATGTAAACGACTAAACTCTGAGGGACAGAGTGTTAGAAAATGAGGGGGAATGAACTCACGCTTCTCTTGCAGGTGAAGGCGGGATCACAGTCTCGTTCTCGATAACGGTTTCTTCTAGACTAGATCTGGTAAAAAAACAAGTTGAAAAATTGAAGTCACATAAGACAAACATCTTTCCAACACATTCCAAGACAATCAATTGATCAATTTTTCTGCAGATATGGAGTAAGTGTTGTATTGAATAAAAGACAGGAGCAGCTGGGTCTTAGGAAAACACTTACGTCATGGGGTTAGACTCAGGCATGTAACGGATAAGGTCCCTCATGGTCATTTTAGCAGGATCCAAAGAAAATTCCTTTTTAATTACCTTAATTTTCTTCTTCTCCTGCAACAACAAATTATAAAACTCTTTGAAGCACTGATATCTTTTTAACACTAAATACTCAACAACAGGTTATTTAAAGGCTTTATATGAGATTTTTTGATCCAGCAGATGTCGCCCTTGAGCACCAGCATGAAACTGCATTGTTGTGTTAGCATGCTAATGCTAGTGATCTTTATTCTGCTGGTATCTTCACACTGCATGTAGATTTACCTGAAATGAGCGAAACACAGTTAAGCAGTGAGTACAGTATGTTATTCTTCTTTTCTCTAGTCCCTCAATTAAACAACTTTTATACACGAGGGGAGGAGTCAGCCGGCCGTCCAGGCGATGTAAACAAAGTGAAGATAGGACTCTGAAAACATCACAGACAGTGGGACTCAGGTGTTACATCCATTGTAGACAGTCATGACTCACTCAGTTATTTTCAGAGGATATACTTGATTTCTATTATATTTAAGTGTGAAAAATCACATATAAAGACTTTAACATCAAATAATCTATCTTACTTTTTCTCTGTGCATCTCCTGTCTGAGTAGCTCTCTGAGTTTTTGAGCCTTTGCGATCCTCTGCATGTCAGACGGGTCGTTCAGGAGTCTGCTCAAGGAGAATGCTGGAGATGTCACCGAAAGGCTGCCCTTAGACGAGACGAGAGTCCTCGCTTTCTCCGATATCTCTGTAGCTTCTTTGTCTGTTAGCGAGGGTTGGACTTTATCCGGTTGTGCAAAGGAGACTTTTTTAACTGGACCGTCTGAAGTGCTTTCTAACTGTTTGCCACTGTCTGCTGGCAGATGTGTCTGTTCTTGTGAATCGTCCGCTGAAGGGACAGCTAAAGGTCCCGAAGTGTCCGATGAGATAACGGCTTTGGGCTGCACTTTGGGCTGCCTGCTGTCCTCCGAAGACCTCCGTCGCCTTGGCGATTGGAGTCCTCGGGGGGAAGTTGGAGTCCCAGGTTGGCTGGATGTTGTCAGTTTGTCGAGGTCTGAGATGGAGGTTTCGGCGACGGCCTTAGCGGGCGACTTTGGCGTCCGGGAAAGGGTGGACAGTCGGCCTGGAGCCACTTTCGGCTTGATGGAAAACCGCTTCCTTCTCTGGACCGCCGCTGAGGTGCTGGTACCTTCTCCATTTTGATCATTACCATCCCTAATAATAACATAAATTGTTTTTTTTGTTACACATGACAAATAGATGCAGCCAAGACTTCTAACACTGACTGCTTGATGCTTGTAACTCACCCCGTGGATGTAGGTTTTTCTGAAGGCGTCGCCTCAGACTTGTTTTCTGTCACAGCAGCATCAGTTGTGCAGCTCTCACTGACGTCTTTGGGGGTCTCACCACCAGCCTCCTGACTTGCTGAAAGGGCTTCCTGAGGTGTTGCTGCTGTTCTCCCCGCTGTACCAACATTGGGTCGAACACTAAATCTTGATCGACGAAACATGTTGTCCTAAAAAAAGACAGAGAAAGCCAAGCTGCATCAGCATTCCTGCAGTGAAACCTGATTTACATGATTTGACAACTGCTTCCTCACAGAGCTCAATCAGAGTTAAAGGTCAGTGCAGAAAACATACAAAATAATCTGTAGAAAAATGGACAAAAACGATCCACGCTGCTTTGCTAAATACACATTAAAATGTTTTTTCTTCAGAACAAAATCAAGGGTTATGGAGACGTTCAGAAAACCAGGGAGAAACTCAAATCTGTTGCTGAAAATACTTCCTTTACCTGGTACCACTTCATGTGTCAAACTATTGTAAGCACTGGTGTTATGAAGACAAATGCATGCCTGCCAGATATTGCATGCACCCCTCAGGACAATTCAAAATATGGCAGACACAATTTCTACACTGCCAAATTGTGCTCAACGGTACTCTGAAAAAGAATCGCAATAATATCGTGACAACATTTTTAAAATTGATGACGCACCACCGTCTTCACAAGTTGGAGGTGTGGAAGCATTCTGGCTTCCCCAAAGACAGAAAAAGACAAGAGGTGAGAAGAAAACAGACGAGACAAAAACTGTGTGCAAATATTACAAGAAGACAGAGACCCTACACAAAAAACACAACCAACATGATGCACCACAGTGAGAAGCTCCAATCACCTCCCCTTGTGCGAGGAAAAAAACATTAAAAGGCCAAACCACATCGACAAGCGGGATTGCAGCCCCTAAAGCAGGGGTGTCCAAAGTGCGGCCTGAGGGCCATTTGCGGCCCTTGAGGGGTTTTTTTGCGGCCCGTGACTTCCAATGGAGAATCAGAAGATTTTGGCCTGAGGCCTTGATTAAGATTGGCACATTATCTTATTTTTCTTTTTCATGTTAACAAGGGCTGAACAATATTCCTAAAATAGAAAATGTTCAGTAACATGTATGTTGTTGTTGTTTTTTAAATCTACAGCTTTTACTATTTTCCACATTTTTTTGTAAACTATGAAAAAAAACTTACGCAAGGTTTTTGCAACCAAGGACTGTTGTTTAACCGTTTAATGACCTGAGCTACATGAACCACGTTACAGGCTTGATTCTGAGAAAAAAACAAATAAAGTAGAACGAAGAAATCAAAATATTTGATTTCCTTTTATTAAAGGGTTTCTTTAGCGAGCCTTTTGATTCTGATCTACAAAGCCTTACTATTTTTTCAACTATATTTTAAAAAACAAAACCTGTGGCCCACGAGTGATTCTAACACGACAATTTTGGCCCGCAAGAAAAAAAGTTTGGACACCACTGAGTCTAAAGGAATCTTTTTCCACCATATTCTGTCACATTCTCATTTTGTAAATGATGTATCGTGAACCGTATCGTGAGTTGAGTGAATCGTTACATCCCTAACAGACACTTAATGTTTATTAGGTATAAACTTCACATACTTAGTCATCACAGAAAACCTGTATCATTCTTTTTCTTTTTTTTGTTAAATAATTTGAACATTGTTTTTTTTTGTTATTGTATTTTCGTGCTTTTCATTTTGTTTTGTATTTTTGATATGTTTGATTTTATTTGATATGTCTGAAATAAATTGAATCAATCAATGAATCAATCATTAAAAAAAAAACACGTTTTCTAACACTTACGGGAGGTGCATGCCTGTTTTGGCAGGGATACATTTCTCGCCATAACACCTGCATGTGTATGAGCATAACGTAGGTCACTGTAAACACTGAAACTGCAGCCACTAGTCCAGCAGATATTCAGCAAATATCTTAAACAACCTGCTACCTCTCTGTGGCTGTCACTTAATAACCTTAACATCTATATATTTACGTAACAATATCACTTATAGTGGTAGATTCAGCAAGAATACAGGCTGTTATAAAACTGACTGCTCAGCAACTCGTTGGACTGACAGGACCGGTAACGTTGACAGATGTTCAGCCGTTAAGTTACGTCAAGAGCCGTTACGTTACCGAAAATGAGAGAGATAACCCCTTTACATTTTAGTAAACTAACAGAGTGTGAAACATACAAAAGCGTTTCAATACTTGACACAAAGAGCAAAAAAAATGTACAAACCTGAGCTAAACAACTCCTATGACAGTTTGAGTGTGAGAGTCTTCCCGCCCGTTTGTTGATTTGGACAAGCAGAAACTCCTAAATGAATCATTTTTTAAATGTCTACATGTTTTACTTCGCTTCCTACAACGTACCTGATCAAGAATAGGTCGTTAGCTTGGAGAAATAAAGGTTCATTTGTCGACGACGAGTGGCGAGTAGCGGACCCCCATGCACACACACTAATCCGCCATGTTTTTTCTTGACGCAATATTCTGACGGGAGTGAAAGGGATTGTGGGAAGTGGAGTCCGAACGCTGCGGAATGGTAGATGAGGCAAGATACTGCAGTGTGCATGCAACATTACCTTTTGTTGTTAAGCATTATGAGCCTTACATTGTTGTTTTTTTTGCATAGCCTGTATTGTTTGTGATACTTATTTGTGGGATTAATAAAGATAGATTTTTATTAAAGTAAACATATGAATACACCCATTTTATAAAGCTCACCTGAAATAAAAGCATTCAGTAAAAATGCATGTAAAAACTATTTATTGGGGTCGCAGGTGGCAGTTGCTCACCCCATGTACTGAGCTTGCAGTCCTCAAGCGGGTGGCCTGGGTTCGAATCCAACCCCTGGCTTCTCTCGCACGTCATTTCTCACTCTTCTCTCTGATTTACGACTCTATTCTCTCCCATTTCTCCAATTAAAGGAATTAAAGGCCCAAAAAACAACTTCTCATTGGATTGTAAATTTGAATAAAGCCGCACATATGCAGCATTTTTCATACTGATTAATTACTCTTTGATTTAATTTGTGTCTATTTATTTAGGATGATGTAATTTAACACAGTTTCAAATAAAAAACATGAAACTGATGTGCTGCACAGAGTTCACATTTATCGCTAATTTCAAACTCTCGCGTTCCTAGTTAGGCCTTTGTGTAAAAAGTGTAGAAAATATAGCCTAAAACATTAATAAAATACAAACAATACTAAGGATACATTAAAATACATTTACCACAAAACAAAAAAATATATAAACCAATGATTATTAGAAACTTAAATTACAAGTGCTAATCCTTTATGACTACATTTTGCTAATACAATTGCTTCTTTTAAAAGTTTATACACTTATAGGGAAGTTTGTTACAAATTTAAGGCCATTTGTTCCCTTCACCTAAGTAGTAACTTACATATACATCAATGTTGCAATGCATTTGCTTCTGTGTGTGACCAAAATGGTATAGCAGCATGCGACATAAGACGATGAACTATCAGCATTATGATTTAATTTCTTTTATTTCATAACACAGACAGCATCAGCAGTGAACCTCTTTGGACACCCCTTCTCTAATACACCACATTTCTTTCTTCAGCAGATCATGACATTTACATTTAGTTCCTCGATCGGTGGTCTTTGGAAATAAGAGAACTACTGATTGGACAGGAGAAAAAAAAAAACATTTGAGGTGAAGGTGTAGAGGACGGGCAGGGCAGGGCAGGTCAGGGATGAGATTTAGAGGAGTTCATCATTCGGATCGTCTTGCACACATTGTAGCTATTTGTCCTGAAGATGTTGTTTCATGTGAAGAACTCCTTTCCCTCCAATAATGCCATTTCAACTGTAAAGGCAGAGAGAACAAAAAAAGGTGAAAATAGTGTTTATCCTGAAGCATTCAGTATAAAATGAAGATAAAAAACAAACCTACTTGAGTACAAAGTTGTGGTCAAGCAAAGGGATTTCCAAAAGGATCCCCAAAATCTGCTGTCGAACCAGAGGTCAGAGCGGCAGGCTGCTGTAGGATAAAGAATAAAAAGGCCAAAATTATGTTTGATTGTAACTGTGGTATTTGCAAAAAAATATGCACATTTTTTCATCTCTGTACCATAGCTACAGGTGGCCTCCAAAAGGACCGGAATCAGGGGCCCCGAATGCTTGATCAAACATGTCCTGATTGAGTCCTTTTCCCTGGGCTGGAGCTGAATTGTTTGCGACGGGAGCAGAAGAGAAGGCGGCTTCAAAGCCGGAGTTGAAACTCGGAGCTGGGGCTGCTTTGGGAGCATCTACAGAAGCACATTAGAAAGAAGAAGAAGAACAGTAAAATAGTGACATTTCTGATAGTCATGAGTGTGACAACTTGCAGATTTTTAACTTCATGCACTGCAGCAACTTGGTTTACCATTAACAGCTGGTATTTGATTGATATCAAAGTCGTCATGATCTGCAGAATCCTGAGGCAGCCCCACTTTACTGGAGAAGTACTGATCGAACGCCCCGGCCTCGTTGCCGCCAGCTGAGATGGAACCCAGCTCCCCTTTCCGCGCTGGGATGGCGGGAGGCTTGGCAATCTGGAAGTCCTTGAACATGTCCTTTCCGGTCTTCTTCTCTCTGTCGCCGAGCGGGTCCAAAGATGTGAAGGCACTGTTCTCCACCTTTGGAGGGGCGTCCTTCGCAGGCGGTCTCGGAGGTGGGCGCGACGGACCGTGCTGGTCGCCCATACCGGGATATGCGCCAGGCTGGAAAGGGTTGGTCATGGCAGGTTGACCCCAACCGGGCGGGGAGGTCGGTGGGAAGATGTGGGGTGGAGACAAAGGTGCGGAATACTGAGTGTGCATGGGCTGGCCCCAGGCTGTGGGAGGAATGGGTAGACCTCCAAAGGCAGACGGCTGCGGGTAGGCGGGTCTAGGGCCTGGAGCTGTCATTCCTGGCATGGGGAACATGGAGGGTGCATTTGGGGTGGCTCCCCACATGCCTGCAGCAGGGATAGTCGTAGCTGGAGGACCGAGCTGAAGATTTCCTGAATGTAAAAAAACCCAAATATTTCTATTAAATTGTTTTTTTTTTTTTATTGGGACTCGTATGGAGTACTTGAACCGTTTTCCACACACTACAATATATGAAAAAGGTACTACAAATGTACAGCCAAGACAAACACAGCTGCAACATCGCCCTCATGTCTCACCCAGAGCGGCGATGGAGGATGGAGTGGAACCGGCTGGCGTGCTGTTGAAAAGGTCGCTGGAAGCAGGCGAGCCTTCAGGTTGACTCGGAGCAGCAAACAGCTCTGCTCCAAACAGGTCGCTCGCTGTGGACTAATGATGGAAATTAAACAAAAATGTTAGGTCTTTTACTTTGCATCACATTTCTATCACTTTAAAAACAATAGACTGTATTTAAGAAGTCGCAATGCTGGCAATTTGTTTTTTGTAACCAGAAGTTACTTTGCCTCGGTCCTGATTGAGGTTTCTGTAGTGGTAACTTGGAAATCCCAAGGGAGATACTCCTTACACACATTTTCAAGACAGCTTTTTTTTTTTAAGTCATACTGGGGGGGAATTGTTTTCCAGATCACTGGAAGTTTAAGCGTGACATTCCTTGTAAATACTGCGGTGCAGTTACCACCAACTCTTAGCAGACATTTACACAATTTACACACTTTTTGTGAGTAGATTTTAGTGCCTGTGTTCGTGAATAAGACCTTCTTTTGCATGAGGCTCATTGGCTTCAAAAATGTGCCATTTTGTCCCTAAATGAACGAAGACTGGCTCATTCAATGATTCTTAAAATAATGATTTGAAGGGTTGTGTTCAGATATTTCAGTTTAAGAAAATGTATAAGAACAAAGTTATCAGACTGTATGAAAGTGGCAGTTAGTGTGTTTTCCTTCTTATTTCTGAGGAAGTGAAGACTGAATTGTCAGATTTGTTTTATGTTGGCATGGCTTTCATTCATTGATTGTTATTGGACAGACCTTCCAGACATTTATTGTTGCTTTTTGAGTAATATTTATTCTTCTCCCTGCTTCTTTCCGTACATGGGATAAAATGTGAATTGTTTTTTTCTTTTTCTGTTGTGTGTTTTGACATGTACGGAACAAATAAAAAAATTAAATTAAATTTAACTAGGTTAACTTGTCTCATATGTGTAGGTAATAGGGGCGCATAAGCTGCTCAATTTGTTCATGAATCAAGCCCATTGTCTAATTTTGCAGCCATACGAGTCGCCTCCTACTGGCCATTTGAAAGAAGTCATGATTAAGGCATTCCTGCGATTTTTAAACCTTTAAAACCTTCAGGCAGCGTAAAAATTCTTAAACACAGTCTCTGGTGAACATTTTCTAAACTACAAGGAAATTAAGATCAAACCGACTTCATCATCAACATACTTTAACTATGAAATCAGAGATAAAAACACAAAAGTATTTACCTTGACAATGATACATACTGCATGCATGCTTTTGACACTTACCAGTGCTTTTTATCACCGAAGCATGAATGTTAGAGGACACATTAAGAGCAGAAATAAGAAGTACAGGTCACTGTTGAGCAGCACATTCAGAGGATGGTGTTTCCAAGCCAGACAGAGAAGCAATGTGACAACGAGTGCATGCATGCAGACAGACAGAACATATCCAAACATCGAGCCCTTTCACTGCAGTCCTGAATTATTTCACCAAATGCAAACCTCCTGAAAGACACCGATGCACAACCCTGAATGCTCCAAAAACGTGAGGCGTTAGCAAACATCTGTCGCTTTGGAAAATATGCATTAACCCCTTTTTTTTTTTTTTTTTGCAGGCATCACACATGCAACTCTACTAGCTACAAAATTTCACCTTTGCACTTCTTCGACCTCGTCCAGCCTTAGAGCTCTGCGGGGGCGGGCTTATGACTACAGAGTCCTTGCTATGAGTCACTTGGGGCAGTGGATGAAGAGTTATGCCATTAGAGACAGGGGACGTTTGCAAAGAGGAGTCAAAAAATGGGTTTTTGGTCGAGAGAACTGGAGCAGTGTCATTCCCGTCCATCATGGTTATCGTGCTGGCCTGAGATATTTGGCCCCCTAGTGGCCACTGTCCGTTATTGAGAGCGAGGATGACGTTCTTACTGGATAAGCCGTTTATCTGCCGACTGAGGTGTTCGGCATCTCCGTTCAAGCCGCCGTTAATAAATGTCTTGTAAGTGTTGCCAGCATTGTTGTTGTTAAGGAAATTAGAGGCGGCGAGGCGGGAGAATTCTGAATTATCGGGCGCCGACAGTGAAGGCGCTTTGGAAAGGGGGTCGTCTCTGAAAGGGTCAGTGTCTGGCGTTGGAAAGTAGCCAAAAGTCGAGGAAAAGGGATTCACTGTGTAGGGAGACGGCCCGAGGTCGAGGTCAGGGGCGCAGGAAGTGACAAAGGAGTTTCCCTTTATGCAATTCTGATTGCTGTCAACTTCAGCGGAAAAATCCAGCAAGAGAATATCATTAGAGTCCTGGTTAAACATGAGAGGGGACAGTGGGAGAGAAAAAGATACAGAGACTCATGATCAGTTCTGCAGAGAGACAAAACACATGTGTTACAACACAATTACAAAATGAATCATATGGTGTGAACAGACATGACGGTTTAAAGCTGCTACCTGTGGAAAATTAACCATAAAAATATCCTGATATTAAAGGGATAGTTTGTTTTTTTTAAAGTGGTCTTGTATGAGGAACTTGTCTTGAAGTAGTGCTTTCTACATTTAGTAAATATAGCATACACTTACAGGGTCATTGGGATTTTTTTATGCCTCTATTTTATTGATTGGAGAGTGGACAGAGTTGGAAATCGCAGTGAGAGCGAGTGGGGAATGACATAGGTCGGATTTGAACCTAGGCCGCCCGCTTGGATGGCTGTGGCCTCCATACATGGGATGTGTGCACTAACCACTAGGCTACTGCCCACCCCCAGGTTTTTTTTCTTTTTTTTTAGGATTTATTTTTGGGCTTTTTGTGCCTTTAATGGAGAGACAGGACAGTGGATAAAGTTCCAAATCGGGGAGAGAGCAAGTGGGGAATGACATGCGGGAAAAGGACCCACAGGTCAGATTCAAACCGGGCCGCCTGCTTTGAGCGCTATGGCCTCCATACATGGGATGCGTGCACTAATCACTAGGCTACTAGCGCCCCTGGGTCATTGTTTTTTTTAAGGTCAGTTCTCCTTAAAAAAAAAGCTAAGCTAACACTGAACCCGTCTGCAGTGATGTGTAGTCTAGCTTCTGTGCCGGCACTCCAGCCAGTTCATGATAATTGAGATTCCCTGCAGGTGATACAGATGTCATCTACGAGTTCCTCATACGATCCCACAAAACAAACAAAAAAAAATCCCTTCAAAGCTCCTGTAAGGAACTTTTGCTTTCATGTTGAATTTGGCGCCCCCCTGTGGACAGACAGTGCCTCTTAGCTCTTTGCTGCTCTTGCCCCACCTGTAACTCCTGATTTCTTTTAACAGTGAAATGCATCACTTTTTGAGAATATTTGCTGTTAAAGATGTAACAACTTGTGTAACTGCCGTCATCCGTTTTGGTTCTGATAGTTTTCTTTGCTTTTTTAATCCAAATAAAAGCATTAATATTCATTTCAGTCTGTTTCAAAACCAGCTAAAACTCCAAACAGGAGCTTGAAAGTCCATGGAGTTCATAGTCCAGCTTTAAAAAAAAAATTAAGGAGTTACGACACATGACTCGTCTCGGACAACAAGCAACAGAAATATGCTAAAGTCAGCACTAACTGGTTAAGACAGTAAAGTGAGGCACTACCACCACAGGGCCACTAGATGTCGCCAAAGTCCCCAACAAATAAAAAAACATCTCCACTTGTAGCAGCTTTAAAAGTTTGGTGAACAACAATGAGATTGGTAAACGTGAAGCTCAAACTCAACTCTGAAATGATCCGTTTCTGTTTAAATCTTTCATTTTCAATTTCATAAAATTTCATGAACGGCGACCTTTTCAGGTTTGAGTTTGAAATGTGGAATGGTCTTGTGAGCTGCTGAGATTATTCAGCTGAGCCTCTTTCTTTTTTTTTTTTTTTAAAACACAAAATCTGTTCTTAGAAGCATGTTTTTTTGAAAAGGAGCAGAATTAAGCACAACATACATTTATATAAATGACCACTTACTGGAGTATTGCTACCTTCTGTTTCCAATAATTCTGGATAAAAGTCTTCCTTCAGCTACAGTATGCACTTTAAGTATGATACTGTACATGCCCAGCTACACTGCACTGACGAAGTATAATTTCCCAATGTTGGCCACATAAAGGGAACATTTCATGGCACCACACTTACATTGGGAGCCCGGATGTCTGGAGGGGTCGACATGTCTCCAAAGAGGTTAAGCTGCTCCACCGGCTGCACGTCACAGAAAAGAAACAAAAACACACTGTATTTATTCAGCTCCTATAAATCACTGTTCGTTTGTTTAATGTTACGCTGCAAACACAACGGAGCAGAAACTCTTACTTGGGCCGGTTTGACTTCATCCATTCTCAGCAAGGCGTCACTTCCATTCTGGAAAAAACACACAGAGAGAGAGAGGCCGAGTGTTCAGGAAGTAGTTAAAAAAAAAAAAAAAAAGGAGCTCATTGGGGGGAGAGAAGAAGTGCTTCCAAGTTCTTACCTCAACTACAGCGCTGCCATTTTCTCCCTGTAAACAGAGGTAGACTGTGAGTGATTATACTTATTTTCTTAATTCACCGAGGGCGTGTGTCATTTCACATAATTTCAAAAGGAATGTCTGACGCTGTGATTCATCGAGAGAACACAGAGAGGCAGTGTTGACACTCACACGGGGTTGTATTCTGCCAGTTCTCCAATTCGACCACATCAAGAAAGAAAAACATTCACACTGTCCCAACTTTTTTTTTCTCACGGTGTGGGATGAGTCTGAACAGTTACCTTCTGTGAAGCCTCTGCCTCTTTCTTCCTGATGTTGAAGATGACCTGGAACAGATCCTTCAGATCGATGACCAGCGGCTCCGCCTGGTGTGGAGGAAGAGTTTTGTCACAATGCACAGAATTTTAAAATGTCGAACAACAATCAGCACCTGTCTCGAAACCATGGCAACAAGAGCTGAAGCCCTAGGCACCCGTTTTTGGGTACTGTCATGTTTTTAATTAACCAAAAAGTGCAAGCAAACTCCTGCACACTGTCTGAATTGCAAAATGTCTCCATCTATTCACAAGAGGAACATCATTGTATTACCCAAATGGCCTTAAAAACATCAGTATTTGCCGACCTCTGACCTCTGAATGCACCTCATCATCCATCCGAGTCAATGTCCTCGCTACACTCAACAATGGTGGTCAAAATCTGTCCGCCTCCCCTGGTATGCAGCTCACCTGCCTTTGTTTACATGTTCCTCTACTTGTACCTTCACCACAGTGAGTATGCCACCTACTGTGACAACAAGGAATTACAACAGAGAACACACACACATATTGAACACACAAGAAATGGCTCTAGCAGGCGTGCAAGTTGAGCGACAGGTGGATGTGTTGTTGCTGTTTGCCAGGAGGCTTAAGGCCTGTTACTTGATTTATATTTAAGGTATTTCCAATATGGTGCCCGCCATATTTAAACTTCATAACACCTCCCCAGAAACCAATGGATGATGTCACTGAGACCACGTCCATCTATTGGCTGAACACACCCCCTGGTTGAAAGGTTATTCTGGTATTGACTCATCAGTGTTTGGTTTGTGGTTTTTCCGGTCTTGACGCCTGGAGTTCAAGGTTTTTTTGCCCACACCATCTTGTTCCTCCAGAGCCCAAAGGTGACCATATTTGGGCAAAAGGTTGATACCAAATTCCTACACCGCCCTACAAGCCCACCACAACCATTTCTGATTAAGTAAATCTTAAACTTTGCTGTGATATCTTTGTTTTGGATGACAGAGCTTCTGGGGGAAAAGCGTCAATTACAAAGAAGCCACAGCCTAACGCAGACCCTTTTTTGTCGTCTGTTATACTCAAGAGGCGGAGCTTATTTTACAGTGTTATCATCGTTGTGTTTTGAAGAAGACTTGAGACTAAAGACTGAGACAATAAACTCATCAGAAAAATGTTTACTGTAGAAATAAACAAAGTGAGAAGTGGGGTAGTTTTCTGCCACTAAACTTCCACTGTCAACCAGAGGGGTCGCCCCCTGCTGGTCATTTAAAGAATGCAGGCTTCTACATTGGCTTCACCTTCAGAGCTAGGAGGCTACATCCACATTTTATACACGGCTTGTGGTCTTGTTGCAATCAGAGTGTGAATGTGTGAGCTTTGCCCACTTACCTGCTGTGCAGTCTTTATGGCAAAGAACTGATGCTGCCCCTCGGCGCCGCACACATACCCAAACGCCCTGTTATCTGTCACATCTCTGGCGATGAAGGAGATCTTATTCACCACGTGCTCATGCTCGATCACCTGAAGGACAAACGTTTTATTATCAAGCCGATCTAAATCTCACTGAATCTTCACAGTGTGTTGTAGAAATAGAAGGGACTCACTCCTGATCTCTCATCGATGATCTTGATGCCCGACATGGAAATGTTGACCCAGATCCTCTGTTTGTGTTTGCCCTGAGACCGAGCAGCTACGGCCATTCCCTGGGGTAAAAAGAGAGATAACGCAACGTGGTCTTTTTCTGACGCCCGTAAATACCGCTGAACATAACATGACCTTCGGTTTTACTTCGGTCTGTACAAAATGTTGCTCTCGCTGGGGAGGACAAATCTACAACAAAATATTGAAAAACAAAAACACCAAAAACATCAACCTTAGCAAATGTATTTGTCTAATTTCTTGTCAAAAGTATCTCATGACACTTAATATAAACTTATAGAAGACTTCAACCTGACAAGTCCAGAATTACATCTTATTCCAAGCTATTAAAAACAATGTCCTCGCTACACTCAACAATGGTGGTCAAAATCTGTCCGCTATTAAAAACAAAACATAAATGCCTGACTTTATTTGAATGATGTGATGTTTACTTAGGTCAAATATTTTATGCAAAATAAACTTCACCATGTTATTCTAACTCTAATGTGTCTCTAGTCCGTCTACAAACCCCCCAATCATGAGAAAAGTCCATCCTCTCCGTCTTTTCCCTGCTCCACTTTTCATAAAATGTGTGCTCAAACAGGCCGTTTGGAGATTTTCCCTTCATGACATCACAAAGGGCAGTAGCCCCTCCCCCAGGTGGGTGACACTCCCCCAGCTAGGTGTTTGTTCTGTTCTCTGAGTCTGCCTTCTCACCGTAAACAATAGGACATGGAGCGAGAAAGCCAGAGTACACCCGAGCCCTTCCAGAGAGGGGGCGTGGTCAGACACAGCTCATTTACATATTTAAAGGTACAGACACAGAAACAGCCTGTTCTGAGCAGGGCTGAAATAGAGGGGTTTATAGACATGATCAAATACAGGATCAGAGTGGATTTAGAACAAGAAACTTCACACACATGTTTTGAGGAGCTCTGAGACGTATTTACACTGAAGAAGAGGAGGAGGATATGTGACTTTTAAGTGTCTTGAAATAAGATGTAAGAACTATTTTGGACGGTATCAGAAGTAATTCAGGTCGTATGTTTTCCTTTTTATAGCTTGAAATAAGATTTGTATCTCGACTGGTCAGGTGAAAGTGTCCGCTTATAATATTTCATGACAATAAAGATGGCAAAAGTTGCATGTTGCACCTTCAGTTTCATCATGGAGTCCTGGGACATCTTGTCTCCTCGGGCCTCTTGGACGTCATCAATGCCGATCAGCTTGGCTTTGTACCTCACGCCATCGCCTTGAAACCTGCCCAGCAGGTACTCGTCTGTCTTCTCCGCCACTGAAAAGAAGAATCAAACAAAGTCAGATTTTTTACAAGATCAGAAACGGAACATTCTGACTTTTAGTAATCAGTCGTGTTGACGAATCGTCATCCCTTACCTTTCTTCTTCTCTTTCTTGAACGGGACTTTGGATGCGGCTGTCGCGGGGGAAGCAGGAGGGGTGTTTGGCGTCGAGGCTGCGGTCGGGGATGCGACGCTCGGATCGGTAGGGACGGCGCTGCTGATCTCCACCTCTGCAGACATGATGGGGTGTGGGAATGAGCCTCACAGGATGAGCAGACGGTCAGACGGCCAAAACAGACGGCAGCTCCGTGTTCAGGGTGGGGGGGGGGTTGGCAGCAAGGTCAACCGAACAGATGACTCTCAACACCCACACATGCTTTTCTTCTTATTTGTCTGCAGCAGAAGAAAAAAAAAGTGAAGTGCGTTTGAGGAGAGAGAAAAAGAAGAAGTTGAAACACTCTTCTCCAGTAAAAACTGCAAACCAGAATTGGGATTGTAAAGAGAGATAATTAAACACCACTTGAAGGTCAAGTAAGGAGGTGGGAAAAGATGTTTTTGCACATCATAAACATCGTACAACTTTAACAATCCACATTAAGGATTTACAGCCATAAAGCCCTCTTCAGATAGAGAAGCATAACCAGACACATGACCTATGAAACATGATGGTCTCATAAGGACACACACACACACACACACACACACACGCACACACACTTTAACGGGGCTTCACACATGCTGCGTCAGATGTTCAGCCTTGTAAAGGAGTAAATCATCCAAGACAAAGACAATCCTGCACACAGCCAAATTACATCCTGTTCCCCTCATTGAGCTAGGTATTTAGGACAGATACTAAGATAAATAAGAACCCAAACAGAAAATCAAGGGTCCTTGGGGTTTTGGATTGTTGCCCGGACAACAGAAGCAACTAGAAGATGTCACTTTGTTCTTCCATAGAGTCACAATAAAAGTAACAAACCTCTACCTGTTTCGATACCATGGCAACAAAACCTGAACTCCCTAGGCAGAAATACTGAGTAATTTCTTGTTTAATTGCCAAAAAATGTGCAGGCAAGCTTCTGTGCCGTTCTGACTCTGCTCTCTCTCGTTTGCTCACAGCAGCTTTGGTTGAAATAGAGGTTTAAAGATCTGTTTTTTTAACACTTTTTGATATTATCTATCATCAAATAGCAGAGACTGTATTGTTTTAGAACACTTGGTATCAAAAAACCTCTGAAGTATCAGATGTTTTCACAACCTTAGAGTCTCAGAAAACACTTTAAAATCTTTAAAAACGTTCCTCACAATAGATAGACAAAATATCAGGCAGATAACTGCTGAAGGGGAAAAAAACGTCTGCAGCCCTTAAAGTGTCACATCATGTGATTTGTCAGTCTTGTAAAAATTCCCCCAGCTCACTGAGGCTCAGAAGCAACAACACACTCGCTGAATGTATATGCATAACAACAATAAAAACCCTGAACTGTTTATATAGTAACATGCTGAAAATCTTGTCATGAGCGACTCTGCAGGAAACTCAAGGCGGTGTCATGTGACACAGAAACATCCCAGTGGAAATTCACCTCCATCTCCACAAAAAAAACGGATTCAAAGCCGATGCAGCACCATCACAAGTCTGATAAATCAAACAATCACAACACCGAAGTTATCTCCTTTACAATCCAACCAAAAACCAAGAAAAGACTCCTGCTCTAGCAAAACTCAAACACAGCTGTTTGTGTGTTTGTGTGTGTGGGGAAACAACGTACCTTCAGGTCCACTTCCAGAGGCTACACTGCACTACAACAAGCGGTGTCAAGAAAGCTGTGACGGCTGCAGGATGGACCAAAGGTTGGAAGCGGGCAAAGGTTGAGCAATTACCTGAGGTTAATCTTACGCTAGCAGAGCAGAAGATCTCGTGATGCCCAGCTGAGCAACAACAAACTTCAGAAGGAAATGGGCAGCTTTTTGGAGTCATCATGTATCCATTACGTTGTTAATCTTTCACTCACATCCAATTAAGTAATTTTCATTTCATTTTTTCATTAATTTCGAACATGTTTTAAAAAATAAAATAAAAATCTGCATTACAAACAAAGCAAAAAGCAATCAAAGCGTACTTTCTGCAGTGGCTCTATTCTTTTTTTCTTAACCAGTTTATGTTGAAAAGGGTGTAAGGATGAAGTTAAATAACTTTATCCAGTCCTACCCCTTTTTATCTTTTTAGCTTAATAAATTAATCAAAGACTAAGCTTTTAAAAAATAAAGTTGAATAATACAGATAACGAAGTAACAAAAGCAACAGATATAATGTATTACACACATTAATGATGCATCTTAAGAAAGCCAAAACACAAACACACCATGTGGTGGAGGGGGTTCCTGTATGATTCAATCTGTTGCACTGTGTTTTATATCTTAGATAGATAAAGGAAATGCCACTCAAACAGGTGAGATAACAGCTGGGAACCTTCAGGTCACCGAGGTTGTTTCACGTTTGTGCCAACTGGAACCTTTATTTTGACTCAGAAACTGATCCCGTCTTCTTTTTTGGAAACTAAAGTGAGAAATGTTCAAGTATTTTTAAATTTCCTTTAAAGAACAGCAGCTTTTTTCAAAATGAGGGGTTGCATCACACGTGCTTCTGTGCAGCTGTAAAACAATAGAAACTTAATTTGGCCTGCTAGTACCACTTCTGAAGTCAAGGAGACAAGCAGGCTAAGCCTTTGAATGTTTGCTTTACCCCTGGTGACGTTTTAAATTCCTGCACACAGGAGACACAGAGACAAACATGCCGTTTTTTGTTTTTTTTGTTTCTGTGTGGGGAAGCGTAGAAAAACAAGATATAACTCTAAACACTTGTTGATGCCTCATTTTTACACAGTGTGAGTGTGACACATGACTGCGCTTGTCCAGTAACTAAACAGCAGTGTCAGAGTCCCACTATAGCTGCAGGAGAGGCTAATAAAAAAAGGGTGAAAAGTCAGCTGTTCATGGCAGATTTGAAGTTAAAGGATTACATTTTAACGACGCATGAATGGTAGCAGCACTTATTAGATAAGAGGATGAGAGGATGTATGTTCAGTGTCACACCACAAATAACAGAACATGAGTGTCAATTCATATTTGTCAGCAGAATAACTGCAGTGCAAGGGGCAGAAATGTCACAATCCTGGGCCGCCAGGAAACGTAAACTACTGCACATCTGGAGGAAATCAGGGAATGACTCAGTCTGCAAGTGAATGAGATGGTGAAATACCACAGGCCCACTGTGGACACAAAGGGCATGCAAACACTTTCAGACAGAATGATTTCTATTTGCACTCAAACTAGGATTCAGATGTAAATATGTGGACAGGAAAGAGAAGTCAAGTCATACATTTCTTTAAAGATTAAAAAAAGCAAAGTTGCAAAAACAACAAAATCAAAGTTGCAACTACATGAGTGTTCTGGATGAGAAAACTTGGTGGTAAATTAAGTAAGTTTGAGACACTTTGGACAGAAATAAGAACCACAAAATGACTCACAAATGCGGCTTTCCTTTCCAAAATGTTTCTGCCTTTCCTCTCACAGTAAATGGAAAAAAACATTTGCTTTGTTTTAGACTCTCCTCAAACTTCCCCAGAGTTCAACAAGCGAAGTTAGATGACAACTTCTGTTAAACAACTCTAAAAAAATGACCACCTGAGAGCAGAAACCTGGTAGATTCTTTAATTAGCGCATGCAATGGATGTCAAAATGTTTAAAGCAAACAGTGACCCTACCTGTTTGAAAGCCCCGCAGTGAGATGTTTGAAATCCTGCAGCCTGGCGAAACACTGATTTTTGTTCCCCGTGATGCCTCCGCGGCTCGGGCACAAAGTGAGTAAAAACCAAACACACAGTTCTCGGGGAAAAAACGAGCAGGGAGTCAGATGTTTTCCGCTAAATGCCGAGGACACGGAAAGGGAGAGAGTGCTGCAGACTCCCAGTTTAACCCTTCACTGACCGGCAGACCAAACTCAATGCAGGTTTTAAACTGTTTGAGGGGCGGTCTCTTTACGTGGAAGAGAATGAAACCAGCAGGCCGGGAACCTACCTACCTACAATAAGTGGGTCATGAAAAATTGTTGTTATGTCAGAGGAAAATTGATCCTTTTATTATTATTATTTAAGAAAAAACATGAAAACACTGCTGGACTTTTAGTGACTCCACTTCAACCTCACATTTCTCATGACTACTTTTTAAGACTTTAATGAAAAGGCCTGTGGTATTATTCTTGAAAAAGTGGTTTGTTTCAAGTTAAAGCATTTTTACTTGTATTTTTTCTTGTTAAACAAACTATATCCGATATTAAAGGGGGTTTCTTGATGACTCTGTAGATAATTATCTCCTGATGGCTCTGTATCTCTTACAGATGGGCCCATTGGTTGCCAGATCTGCTAATTGTTTTGGTTCATGCTTTGCAACATTTGAGTCATTGCTAGTTAACTAGCTTCTTTCAGCTATTGTTTTGGTTTTAGGAATTGCAACTTTCTGTTGTGTTGTGTCAAAAGAAAATTTATCTTTTTTTTTATCATTTAAGAAAAAAAAAACATGAAAACACTGCTGGACTTTTAGTGACTCCACCTCAACCTCACATTTCTCATGACTACTTTTTAAGACTTTAATGAAAAGGCCTGTGGTATTATTCTTGAAAAAGTTTTTTATTTGTATTTTTCTGGTAAAAAAAACAAAAAAACATGTTGATTTTTATCTGAGGTCAAATATTAAAAGGGTTCTTAATGACTCTGTAGATAATTATCTCCTGATGGCTCTGTATCTCTTACAGATGGGCCCATTGGTTGCCAGATCTGCCAATTGTTTAGCAATTGCTAGTTAACTAGCTTCTTTCAGCTAATTGTTTTGGTTTTAGGAATTGCAACTTGTGGCCTGTTAGCTTTTTTGTTTCAGCTAATTGTTTTGGTTTCACCTTTGTTATATTCTTGTCTAGTTAGCTAGTTTCCTACAGCTAATTGTTTTACGTCCAAGATTAACAACTTTCTAGTTTATTTAGCCACAAAGCTAGCTGATTTCCGCTAATTGTTTTTGGAGTGTATATTTGCAACTTTCTTGACTGTAGTTAGTTAACTTCTTCAGCCAAGTGTTTTGGCAACAACTTTCTAGTTTCTTTGGCTCGTTACGCTAGCTTCTTTAATGTTATTGTTTAGGCTCCAAGATTAAAAACTTGCTAGTTTCTTTAGTTACTAACCTAGCTTCTCTCAGCTAATTGTTTTGGTTTCAGGATTACAACTTTCTTGTTACCATGGCAAGTGACAGCTAGCTTCATTCAGCTAATTGTATTTTCAATCATCTTTGCAACTTTCTAGTTACTGTAGCTAGTTAGCGAGATCCTTTTAGCTAACTGTTTCGGTTTCAATTTAGTTTGCTTCTTTCTCAGCTCGTGTGCTTGTATGTTTGTTTCTGCTTCTAATTACTGTTGCCTGTTTGCTATTTTCAAACATGAATGGGGTTAAACAGTTGGAAATGGCAAAGCTGTAACTTGCTGAGATTAAGTAAGGGTTCATTATTGACCTCCGTTTGTGTCAGAGATGTTTCTAAACTTGAGAAAACCAAAAGTATATCCCAACAGTATGTCAACAGTACAAACATCAATGGTTTGGAGCGCCACATGGGTCCTCAATCAAGCTGAAAACAAACAGGTGCTCTTCGGGGAGGGTACCACACATCTTTAACTTCACCTGTAGTCCTGAATTAATAAAGGCTTTTTAACTTTTGTAACGGAACAGAGTGCCCTGGATACCTTTTTGTGTTTGCCTACTGCTAGCCTATTGTTTTCAGTGTCTTAACAGTACTTGATGACGTTTGAATTAAAACTCCATTTGTTTAATTAAAACATTTTGTGTACACAGAGTATAATATCATTAAATCTAAAGGGAGTGAGTGAGGGGGAAGAAGAGCAGAGAGTGAAGCTCCGATGTTGCTTACACAGCAGACTTTTGAGGGACCAGGCAGGCGCAATGTTTCCTTTGCATTGCACTAGTGCTATTGCAATTACAGTAAACCGATGGCTGAAAACAGGTCATCAACTTCCTCAGAACAAATGTCTGTTTTGCCTTAGATACCATGTAGCGATTCAGCCGTGTAATGACAGTTTTCATATTCGCTGTTCTAAGCGCAGAGTGCCAGTTGTGATATTCCCAGGAGGAGGGGGGGGGATCCTGAAGCCACACAGGAACTGTTCAGTGTTGTGTTTGCACAGGCATCAGAGGATGTTTGGGATAATTAAGAGAAGAACTTGGTAGTGAGCATCAGCAGGGACAGCCTCGGTTAAAAAAGACAACGACCTTCAGCTTCTTCAACAGTCGAACTGAAGAGATAGAAATACATGATTTAGAAAGTGTGGAGCTGCAAAACTAGAATTAACAGTAACAATGAGACATGCAGGGACATGAGTAATGATGTCAGTGTGGTGTTTTTCTGTGGACCAATAAGTTTCACTTCTGTATTTTTTAATTACCTTCGCATGCCATCCCTATGAATTATTTATATATATTTAAGACATATTTCATTCAATTGAACCTCTAAAAAAATATTTCTGTCACTTCAGGTGTAACTGTAATTTCTTAAGATATAGATTTGGTCTGATCTTTGTGATGTTTCTGCTGCACTAATTCGATCATGTACTGTGTTGCTTTGGTAGCATCTCTGATAAATCAACTTCTACTACGACAGTCAGCCACCTCCAACATGAACACAAACTTCAACCCCTCAATGCATAACCAATTTCCAATATGCTAGACCAACTTCTAAAGCACTGTCACTGATTATTGTTATTGAAATATGTTCTTATTGGTGTTAGCTGAGAGTCTGCAGCAGTAACTCCTCCCCTTTACAGACTCTAATCCGGAGCATGTTTTGCTCTCCACAGATGAAAATCTGAAAAAAACCTGAACCATTCTTACTCTTTATTGCTTCCCTGCAGACGCAATAAGACTGTACAATGTTCTCTCTGATTTGCTCCAGGCCATTAAAAAGTATGAAGTCTTTGTAAGCAGCGAGAATATTGCCAGGGACCCCCTGGAACCCCTTGAGCCTACTTTGAGAATTTTAATCATGAATAGCAACAGATGAGGGGAATTCGATTTATCGCTCAAATACAGAGATTTTTTTAGATTTTTTAGACATTTCCTTGATGAAACATTGCAGCTTTTCCAAAAGTGTTCAGATTAGTAACATCTGAACTTCAAAATCTTTTAGAGCCAACACATCACAGTCTAGTGAACCTCTGCACTTTTAGAGTCAGGGTCGGGACACAATATCAATTCTATCATTTCTATTTGTCCTGACTCGTGATCAAATATTGTATCGCTGTGGCCAAAAAATGTATATTTTAATAACAGCACCTGGGGAGATTTGAGGGCAATGTGATAGGAAGTTAAAGGTGCACAGCAGGATGAATTAAAAAAGAAGAAACTAGGAGGAGAAACTAATCTGACTCCTTTCTGGGGAACAATTTCCAGATGACGAGCTGCAGCTAACGCCAGGACACAATTCCTCCACTTTATGTTCATGTTTTCTTGGTAATACTTCCTTGATTAAAAGCAAATATTAAACACATGGAGATATCTAAAACAAACAGGGTAGTGGAAGTTAACTTTTGTAACCTAGCAACAATAAGCACCGGTGAGAAGGGCTTTGAAAATGAGATGGTGAGCGCTTCCTTTAAAAAAAAAACTCTGTTAATGGATTGTTTTAGAGGCATTTTATATTCTTTAATTCATCAGATATCATGATGCATCAGTATATGATTGTCTCTTATAGAATAGAATAGAATAGAATTACTTCATTGATCCCAAACTGGGAAATTGTCTATTGCAGAATCGCTGTATTGTAGGCTCATTTTGTGGGCCAAGTCTCATATCTTATCATATTGTACCATGAGTTATTCACCCCTATAGTCAAACATACATCTACTTTTGACATCCCAAAACTTCAAACAGATGTTTAACTTGTTGTATGATGTTGAAGAGATGTACACTCTACTGTATGCTGCACGCTGGAGGATGAGAAAACGAGAGTGTTAGGGACAGAGGAAGGACGTCCTTCCTGCCTTTGTATCCTGTGTTCTGCTGACAGAAGCTGTTTTTTTGAGGAGATGAGCCCCTCAGAAGCCAGATTACTGACGAGCTCAGAGTCTGTTTTCCACCACTGGAATGATCTTTTTTTCCATATCCTCTTACTTATTCCACAATTTAATATCTTCTGACTTTCTGTCTGTAATTGCAAAAACACAAGAATGAAATGCATGGAATCTGTGCAGAATAAAAACAGAATATAAGAGCTGCTGCTGCATCACGTCTGGTCTAAGATGTTTTACATTTGCATTGTGCTAGATGCAAACAACATTTTTTTAAATGCATGATCATTTTAATACATACATCAAAGATTTAGGGGAAGAGAATGCATTTTTCCTGATGTAAGATTTCAAGAGCTTTTTTTCGTTGCAGTGACGTGTCACTCTGATCCAGCATCACAAGTGGGATGACGTTGGCTTACAATTATGGTTCCCTGTTCTTCTGAATGTGATTCAGCAGTGTGTGTTTCCATCAGGGTTACGGCCAATTCAACCGCACACACACACACACACACACACACACACACACACACACACACACACACACACACACACACACACACACACACACACACACACACACACATACACACATACGCGAGGACATGCTGGAGTCTACTTAGTCCAACTTTCTGGTGATAGGAAAAGGAAGAGTGTGACAGACTTCAGACGACACCTTGACATAAGAGGGGAGATTTTGTTTTATGGCAGAATGCTGACAGAGAAACTCTAATGGGAAATGTCCTTTTTCCAGTTTATGACAGGAAGGCCGCAATCCAAACATGTAGGGCGTGAATCCTGGATCCCGGTTGCCACCACAAACCAGAACCTAAGATAGCTACTTATCTCCAGTCCATAATTGAGGTAGTCT